TACATATAAAACTGATTTCCTACGATGGAAATCATCAGAAATCAAAGAAACCAAGAAATCGTTTTTTCCCCCCTTGAAATTATCAGAATCCATCATGAACAATCGATCTTTGTTCAGTTCCGTATATAAACGTTTTATATATTACATACCTTTTTTTAATATTCGAAATAGCGTGCTATACTGGCTGCAGTTATCTTTCTGAAAAAATTGTTCCGTTCACAGTAGGACGTAAATAAAGTTTATGGAAATAAACGAATATTCAAATAAAATGACATTGCTTGTAAACGAATCTCTCGTCATATTACTGACGTGAAGGCTAGTCCAATATCAGAAATCAATTAAAGAGGAAGAAATTCAATACATCATTTTAATAAAAAGTAATCACACTTTTCGATCCTCATACAATTGAACTTATATTTACTTTAATATACTATTTGGATTGTTTTTTTAATCAAACGATCGATAAATATAATTTATCGGTAGATGAGATGCCGTAAAACTTGAAAAGTTAACCATATTAAAAGTAGGGTTGGACCAAGTCAAAATGTAGCATTGGAATTGCGCTTGGCGCATACACATGTAAAAATAAGATTTCAAAAGACATTCTCATTTTATTTGAAATGCCATAAAGCCTTCATTAGGAGTAGATATATCCAAAGTATAACGAGATCGTATTAGAAGGACAACGTAAAACTGATAGACTACCATTAGCAGACATAGATCAAGAATTGCAAAATCTCGGTTGAGCATTTTTGTAATCTTTTTTGGTAGAAGTCAATAGTTAAGATTTAAGTTTCTCTTATCGATAAAAAAGATTTCACTGTAGACGTTTTTCGGAATATAATTTTATTAAATGCAAACCAATAAACTGTATAATATGATAGAATGTGTACGTCAATGATGGTCTATTTTAAAAATTTGTTAGTTTTGGTAAAATCGGAAAATAAACTTTTAACAATTGATTCAAGATATTATCCATGAATTATTTCATCTATAACATCCACAGTAAGCTGATGATGAGAAATCATTGGTTCAGTAGTATCACAGACAGCAATGCATTGGATCAGTAAAAGCTACAAATTTTATCAGGGAAAGAATATAAGTTTTATCAATAAAAAGTATAATTTAAGAGAAGAGATGCTTCTTGTCAATTAGATTTTTTTCCTCGCCGACCAGTCCCGATTTTACTGTAAATGTTGGTTTACAATATTAAAATATGAAAAGCGTGACAGTTGTTCAATATGACTCGCTCGCATATTGAGTAACTTCGTCGTACGTTTTACTTCCATCTACTTTACTTGTTCATACTCAACGTAAATTGAGGTAAGATGAAGAGTATATGTATTAAAACGTGATGCGCACACGTTCTGGATGGATATTCTATTGTCTAAAATATTATTGCTTCATCAGAAGTATCAATAATAATTAGAATCTCACGTTGATCTATATACGAATTCATGTTTAAAACTCATGTTATCGAATTGCTATAGCTGATCATTTTTATAAAACGAATCGATACCATTTACAGCACTAGAGAAACAAAAGGAGCGAAGTATCCTATCAATAATTTGACAATGAGCCCAGTGAGTGACGTCTAAGTTTTCAAAAATCACAAGAAAAGAACTCCTAGTGATTTCTTGTTTGCCACTGTGTAAGACATAACATAATCTTCACAGAAGAATTCAATAGAGCCTAGAAATTTTATTTGAAGTACAATTCTAAAAATCAACAAAAGCTATGCGCGATTTAGATTTCTTACCATTGAGATGGGAGAAGACCATCAGTTGAATTAACATCGATGAGAAACCCAAATTACATTGAAACGAAACATCATTTTTATCCATATATGTAAATATCTTGTCAAGATGATAGATTTTATAATAATTCTTTCTTATAGACCTTTGAAGTTCTGCACTTTTGGTTTATAACAATATCAGTGCTACTAACGGGTGGCCCATGAAAAATGGCGGTCTCATTATTTACTCAATATCTTTTTTGCTCTTCATTGATTTGAACTGAACATTTTCCCAAAAGATTCAGCATTCAATTCTCTACAAACTCATGTGTAAAAGATTTTTTAAAACTACAAAACGGCTAAATACTAAAACGAAGAAAAAAGGTTAAAAAATCTCCAACTTTCAAGCACTAAATCCTTTTTTTTTTGAAAATTTGCTTTCCATGTGAGGATCTACAAAAAAAAACTCAGTCCACCATGCTAAAGAGCATCAGATTCTGGGCAAGATTCATGTCTTCGAATTTTTTTTCATTACAAAACGAGTAAAAAATTCTGCATCAATTTTTTCGCTTTTTCTAAAAGACACAACTGTCATGTCATGTTTTTTATGCTTGCACTAAAACGCATGCCATTCACTTAAAAAGTGTTATTTTTTGACGATTTTTTTTTCTTTGAAAGCCAACATACTCGACTACACCCCCGTACACTTGTTCGAGTGATGCAAAGTTTCGTTTGCAGTAGACTTTCTTGTAAACCGAAATTAAGGCGTTATGGACGAGTTTTCAGAAAATATCGATTTAATAGGCGAAGACCACTTTTAAAGAAATGTCTTTCAAAGATATCGAAAAAGAGCGTACTTGAAAATACCAGAAAATGTTTCTCCCGTAACTTAAGCCTGCGTAGAAATTGTCGAAAAATACTCCAAATGTTAATGTATGTTGAGCTTGAAAGTTGAAGATTTTTTAACCTTTTTTCTTCGTTTTAGTACTTAGCCGTTTTGTAGTTTTAAAAAATCTTTTACACATGAGTTTGTAGAGAATTGAATGCTGAATCTTTTGGGAAAATGTTCAGTTCAAATCAATGAAGAGCAAAAAAGATATTGAGTAAATAATGAGACCGCCATTTTTCATGGGCCACCCGTTATTTATCGCTAAGTATTAGTAGCATGTATGACGAGATACGAAGTAACATTGAACGCTTGTTCAATCTGTTAAGAATTATTATTCACTCTCAAGTGCTACATAAAAAATAAAATAATCATCAGAGAATTGTAATTCGTTACTTAAAACTTATCATGAGAATTATCTATATTATAGATTAGCGTTTATTTTTCATGTTTACTTTTCAAGCAATTCAATAGATATCTGTATGTTCCAAATGTAACACAGTTGGCGCTGTCATGTAATACTATGATCTATACGTTAGTCTTAAGACCAGAGAAAAATCGTAGTAGAATTCAGTTCCTTGATCGTATGTACTACGAGAACCCAAGGTCTAATACCAATGTATCCTAATTGTTTCTAAGGATGGAAAGTCCTCGTCTGTTTCTGCTATTACAATTCATGACCATGTATCTCAAATAAAATCGTGTTCTGTTGGATTCCATCTAGTTAATAATTACTTGAAGAACTTGACTCAAGATCTTCTTCTAAACACGTATTGCAATTTAAATTTTATAGATGAAAACAATGAAATTTTATTTTTCATCTCTTTCAATCTGTTAATTGACTTCTTTTGTAAATAGAAGCGTTTAAGCAATTGGTCTCTGTTATTAAATTTATCAAACATTTTTTCGGCATTCAATTTGCTCAGTATGTGAATGTCGCTGTCGCCACTGTTATCTACTTTTTTCTTCTTATTCATTCAATGGTAGCCAATTCAATATGTACATAGGCGTGCTTTATTTTTAGTTTACACAATCTACAATTAGAGTGGGCTGCACATGTGAGTTAAGTGTGACCTGTCATCAAAAAAGAAATTCTTTTCTTCGCCTTCTATGTTAATTTCATCATACTGTTCAATCGTTTTCTTTCATTATCTTGTATTACACTCCTGAAAATTAATCTGCCTTATTATATTATAAATATAAAGGAATACTGTTATATCTATCAAGGATCTCTAAAATATACAAATATATATATCTATATAAACGAATTATTCTTTGTAAGATGTTCTTATCTATCCACTTGATCTAGTTATGTACGACATAAAATCCTGAATTTATATGTAAGTGTCTCAAGACGAGACATTCAATCTTTATATATATATATATATATATACGCATGTATATTGAGTAATAAGAGATTTTTCTTCGTCTCTAAAATCTTCTCAAGTGAATGTGTGTTAATGGATTTAGATTGTTATAGGAAGATACACTTAAGTTTGATTTTTTTTCCTTATGTTCCTTCTAGCATCTTTTCTTTTTCAATGTCAATAGATTAACGACGGCATTCGATGTCTATCCTAAAAGCATGCGATGCTTTGTTCTTCCTGTACATCACTTTTTTTTATTCAATTGAAAGCATATGCCCGGAAGACGACTCTAAAGTTCTTGTTTGTATACATATCTTGACACTTATTCTTGAGAAATGATGAAGTTATATGTCAGCAAACGAGTCGCAATGCGTGTGTGTGTGTGAGAGAGAAACACACTGACACATTTGTCAATAGATACACATAAGAGTTAGACATTTTCACATTCTGCAGAATATTACTTGACGTTGACGAGATCAATATCCGACTGTTAGGATGATTTGTTTAAATTGTAGAATTGTGACAAATATATGTATATATTTATTCTTTGCTCTTGATTGATTGGAATTTATCTACAAGGCATCATTTTACGATCATGAATATGTTGAGAAGAATACAAATTTGTGCGATAATCATATTGCACTCCTAATATCTTACATTACTTTCTTACATATTTCATTATCTCAGTGCTAAGTGTAGTAAAAACGTATGTTTAAATAAAAGACAAAATGGCCGTCTTCTTACATAATTCTTTGGTTAATACTTATTAGACTAATGATGATAATCTTAGTATTTAATACTAAACGATAATGTTTTAGTAGGCAGGTAATGAATAAAAATTTCTTTCGATGATGCAATTCATTAGCAAGAAGAAAAAACTAACAAGTATCATTTGATCGTACTGTTCTTTACCATTAAATATATTTATACAGAATAATTTTTACATATCGAAAAAAAAATGCTTACAATAAGCAAACGAAAAAACAACACAAACACAAGAATGATTTCATAATTAGAACATCTCTGGATTTGAAGAATCATCATAGTTTAGTGGGCAATAGCTTGAATAAAAATGATGATCAATTAAATGTATAGGAAAAGTCTTGTTTCTTTTTAACCATAGATTAAGTACGGATGAAAGTGTTCTTTGTTTAATCTTAAATTTAGACCAAATCGAACGAAATAAAAACCCATGTAAAGAACACGATGGTGCAAATATCGATATACGATTACTTGATTGACGAAGATTATCGATAAGTTTCAATGAGAAATCATACGAGTTTATATGTATTTTATCGAATTGTAATTGTGTTAAATCCAATAGGGATTGTATAATAAAAATTTTAACATTTGAAGGAAATAATTTAATAGCTTCGCTTCCTAATAAACATTTATGACGAGATGTTAATTGACATGATTTTGATATTTGTGTATTCCAATAATTCATCCCTTGATTAATTTTCGATACGCCATGTGAATTATTTGAATAATCGATAAACCAACCTGAATCAATAATTACACGAAGATCAATTTTCGGTGAAAATTTTCGTAATAAATCCGGTAAATTCAATAGTAAACCAATGCCGCCGGCTGAAAAACCTACAAATACGAGTTGTTTTGCTTTCGAAAAATAATTATGTTGATGAAATATGGCATGAAATATATCATGACCATGTGAATGTGTTGTATTCGACGAACCCGACCATAAATCCGATGAACAATAGGGTACATAGATGATATTGAATTGTTGAAATGAAGAAAATATTCCTTTGAAAAGGATTTCTTTATTAAAATTATTTGATGTTATAAAATTCGGTGAATATTGTCGACGAAATTCACATGATTCATTTGAATAACAAAACCAACCACCATCGAAATAGATTAACCAACGCGAATGTTCATTATTATTTGCTATATGTATATAATATGAAGCGACACTATTATCCATACAACGGGCTTGAGAATAGTTTATTAATGATATACGATGAAATTTTGTATCAGAAGAAAATTCTGTTGTTGTAGACGCTGAGGACGGTGGTGAAAATGTTTGTTGACGATAAATAAGTAAAATAATAATTAGACATGGAATAGTCAAACAAAGAAAAAGAATAACTATTCCGATTTCAACAGAATAATATTTATGAGGTTTTGAAGTTCGAATTAATTCAGGACTTGGCATTGACAATGAAGATGATATAGATGATGTCATGATTATTAGATTTGAACAAGTAATTTAGACTTGGGATAGATGCGCATGGATATGGATCTATCGAATTGTTCTCTTTCTTTCTATTTTTTTCTTTTTCTTTTCTTTTTATGCGAGAGAAGGAAAGAAAAATATTTCTTGTCTTAAACGATTGATTAGTGATGGAAAGCAGAACTAAATATATTGGCGAATCGAGATATATGTGTATAGACTTGAAATATATTCAAGAAACATAAAATGAACAACTATTCAATCATCATCACTCCATGACACATATGAACAAATAAGTATGAGATAGTTCATCGTTAAGATACAGATGTCTGACTGTGATTTACTCTTAGCTGTCAAGCTCGTCACACACATATGCTTAGTCTGTCTGCTTAACCTGTCGTCTAAGAAAACTGCATTGTCAATCAGATCGTTGTCGAGAACAGAATGAATTATTCAATATGTTTTAATCTATACTTTTAGTTTTAGTAACAGCAGGAAGCAATGCCAGATATTCAAGGATAGATAAAAAAATATGTTACCATTCATGATTAGCAATTCTACAACTCGATATGCGTACTCTATGATTTATTTTCAGTTTATTGATTGATCTTTCATTTGAACAGTAAATAATTAACTAGAAGAAGCCATCACATCTACATACACATATATAGCACGAACAAAGTAAATCAATCTATCGTTTGTAGTTCATCTTACACTGTTACGAATAATTAAAGACTACAAGAAAAGTATAGTGAGTACAAGTGTTAAATTCAAGTTATATTTCTACAGTAAAAGAAGATAACAAGTGCGCAGCTCCTCTGTCAGAGTCTCTTAGTAACTGAAACATGCATTGAACAATATTAACAAAAAATAATTTGAAAATATCAAAAACGTTCATGATCGTTTTCAAAAACATGCCATGGATGATCCAAATTTGTCACTATCGTCATATTATCAACGTGAAAAGTATGAGACTAGCGACTACAACGGGGAGAGGCGGGCGGGGTATTATTCATAGTAGCAATTAAGATCTTTCTAAACAATCATTTTAATCACTTCATCTTATCGTTTGGACAGGTAGACCAGTGTATATTATGTTAACTAGTACGACAAAAACACAGTACTTGGATATAGTGTAATTTATTGAATCATAGTAAAGAAAAACGAAACTATAAATGAACTCTAGCACAGCATTTACTTATGGATTTCTCTTAGTACTATTCATTTCATAGTATAGAATTACAGAATAGTGACATTTGCTTTATTATGACACGAACAGTTTTCGAATGACGACTAGATATATTTGAGATAGGATGCGTACGATTTGCAAGATAGGTTACATGTTAAATTTAAATGTTCATTATCAAAAGTTTGTTTGAATTGTGAGATAAATAGATTAAATTTTTTACTACTCCTTATTTTTTTATCTATCGATTAATCAAAAACAACAAATCATTCAAATTTAGCGTACTGTCGTTGTAATCATGGCAAATGAAATTTTATTTTAGAAGATATGCAATCACACTGACGCTTTCACTACGAAAAAAAAAATAGTTATTAGGTTATGCTCATGGATATCTTTTTTTTTCTTCTTATAGTCGCTTGCTTCTCTTCTATGAATGTGCTCGTTTTCAATAGATCAAAGTTACTATTATATTATATTATTCGTTTGATTGAGTATTATTTCTCTTTTTTTTTCTCCAAGGAAGATTACCCATGAAAGAAAACTAACATCGATTAGAATCGAATTAAAAAATTTGATTTCAATAACAATGCAAATTGTTGTTGTCATTGATTTCTAATATAAAGTGAATCTAGAGTATTTTCATTTTTAATCAAGATTGTTATTACAATTCTTTCGTACTTGGTAATTGATAATAATCAAGAAGGTTTATTATTCTGATTTTTATATAGCTAATATAATTAATGTCAAGTGTTGCATCGGTTCGATGACATCTCTTATCCACTATCAAGGTTGAGTGCATGATCCAGTAAATTGGATGTCATTTATATTATAGACGAAGAATAATCCATTTAAAGAAGTCATTGATCTGATTCTTTAACTTTGCTTAGCGAGTAATTTATGCGTGAAATCTTTTATCCATAAATGGTATGCAACGGATCTACGTATTGTACTTAAACGAATAGTTCCACTGATCACTCGTACTAATGAGGATGTGCGGGTGACAAAGGTGTGCACGAATTGAGTTTTTTGCTTCTTACCATGCCCTGCTCTCCCATCTCCGAGTAGACCAAATAGGTCAGAGCATCTAATTAATTGACAATTGACGTGATTATCATTTCTAATTGAGCTCAAAAGAATAACTATTACTTCACTATGTTGTAGAATCTTGTTTTTCCGCGAAGCCTCTTCTTTGTTTCGAAGTCAGATCTAGATGTTATGAAAACATTGCTACGACTTTCTTCAATATTTCCAAGTACTGCTAAACATTTGTAGAAGACTGGGAACTTGGCAACTAAATTCTTTTGGAGTTTTTGCATTGTTACGTATACTCTCTTCTCGATGGCATTCTCTTTCCCCGATATCCAAAATACAGTACGTTCAATTTAGCAAAATATGTTAGCACTTGTGTATTTGTTGGGACTGTCGCTTTCTGTCAATCGTTATTTTTTGTTCTTACGCTAACTTACATTAAGAAATATATATAACTGTCTTTGTGCTCCAGATAGTGATCCCTGCTCTTATTAACATTAATAGCCTTGTGTAGAATTGCACAAGATTTTTAGCTATCTGACATTTAGTTTAGTTTAATTTAAGTTTGATTTTCAGACAATGGCATCCACGCCACAATCCATCATTGAGTGATGATGCAGATTTTTTGTTGAAAAATCTTCACAAATTACATCACTACCAGAGCGAAAGGGTACTATTTATGAAAGCATAAATTTTCGAACAAATTGTGTTCCTCGACAAGAACTTTTATTATATATCTATAGGAGATAATCAATAATTGAATATAATTATAGGAAATTTGACTGGTCTTCGCATTTGAACTTGAAAAATTTCCCTTCGATATGTACGAAACAGTTTCACTAGGTCTGAATTCGTGCGGCACACCATTGAATGAAATCGGTCAAACTACACATAGAATGAATAATTTAAATTGATGAAAAGATATGAAAACTGCTTGCATTAGGAAATTTTTTCATGTTTTAAAATATTTTGTGTTCAGTTGAATAAGGGAAGTGTTGGTGTCTACAGTTCATAAGAATATTTTTAATTGCCATACAATTTGATTAAGCTCTGACTCATGACAAGTTTTCAATAAATGTGTACGAAAATGTTTCATTGGTTTCTACGATACTTTTAGTGAGAACAACAAAACAAAAGCTCGTTGATTTGTTTCGATGAATTGTGTACTATATTCGTGTTGCCATTTTTGCAAGGAAAGATACGATTCGATCTGGTATACATTTACTATAAGCTTGTCGATCATCTTTGTGCTGTTAACATTCTTACGGATTCTTTCGCTATAGAATATGATCTTGATGGGCGTAGTTTTTGATGTTTTCACAGCGAATCGTTCAGGCAGTAAATATGACGTAGCACCTTAAATTACCTTTACTTATGAATCATTATGCTGCTTCTGTACAGACACTTGAATTATGCGAATGAAGATAAAGGAGGCGCGATTGGGTATATTATATACTTGTGTGTCGTAGGAAACTAGCCAATGCTACCACACGATCACACTGACATATCGGCAAGAGATGGGAATTGTTATTCGATCAACTTGTAGAAACTCAGGATTATCTTCATTGTACCGTCGCTATCTGAGTTTGAAAAGAGCCCACCATGTGTTTAAATAAGTATATTCAGCGTTCAACAGCAACGAAATTCTTAATAGAATATGAAAGATAAGTTTAGTTGACAAAAGCTAATAAAAACTAGAGATGTGAAGTGGATATACTTGGCTACATGCACATAAATGTTTCGAAAAGGCAAATATGATGTTTCTAATGGCATGCGATAAAAAAAAGTCATTTTGTTACGTAATAGTATTCACCTGACTTTCAGCTAAGATGATAGATATCAATTTTTGAAATAGAGAGCACATGATATTGGAAGAGAATAAGGATTTTTTGCATTCTATTTACCTAAGATTCTCAATGAAACCAAAAGAACACAAGGACTTTTGAGTAGATACGACAGAGACGATGAAAATGCAAGAGAGAGAAAAACGTTTGCATACTTGTCTATGACGTATAAAATTGTGTGATATGAAGAGACAAGATCATTCAAATTACTATCGTTAGAGAAAAATATTCAAGTAGACGTACATATATAAATACTAGACTAAGTAAAAATGACATCATGTAAGAGACCTGCACATGGTGACGATGATAATAATCTAGAAACATATAGAATTTTCTGTTTGGATACTTCTGTGAGCAACGAAGAAAACTTGATGGCTCAAAAACAATTGCGTAGCATTATTTGCCAACTACAAACAACAATCGATCCTGCAGAGTCTATAGGTCGTGTCTGTTACATTTGTCAAGATAATTTGACAGTCTTGATTGTCACTGGTCATGTAGGTTGCATTATGGTGCCCGAAATACAGAAACTACAACAATCATCGTCAATTTTCATGTACTGCTTTAACAAAGAAGTAACTGAGCGGTGGAACCAACCATTGAATAAGGTTTGTGAACATCTTTACTAAAAACTATTCCATTCAGCTTTCGTTTACTATAGGTTAAAGCTATTTACAGTAAACTAGATGAACTTATTAATGTAGTCCGAATGGACCAGAAACATCGCAGTAGAGTTGAGGAATCATTGGCAATCGATGTTTTAGATCAAACTTCAGCAAATTTAAAAGGGCAATTCTTACATTCTCAAATGCTAGTTGATATTCTGATTCAGATGAAACGAAATAAACACGATAAACATAATTTCATTGAATTGTGCAAGAATAAATACAAAGACAATAGATCGGCTTTAAATCTAATAAAAGAATTTGATGTAGAATATCAACCGGCAAAAGCAATCTGGTGGTATATGCGTGATTCATTTGTGTACGACATGTTAAACAAAGCATTAAGTGTACAAAATTTGGACGTCTTATTCCCTTTTCATACTATTATTAAAGACATTTTCGAACAATTACGCGTACATCAATGTAAAGAACGGATTCAAGTGTATCGAGGACAGATGTTATCAAAATTAGATTTGAAAAAGTTATGTAAATCAACAGGAAGTTTTATCTCAATAAAATCCTTTTTATCGACAGCATTAGATCGTCGTATCGCACTAAGACTTATAAAGCGTAGCTTTCGTCCTACAACATCTGGTGATCTAGTACCAGTACTATTCGAAATCGATGCTGATCCACACATAATTCAAACTATGATTGACAATAATAGACCTTTTGCAAAAATCACCAAACTGAACGACAATGGAGATGAACTAGAAGTAATGTTCATGATTGGTTCAACCTTTAAATTGAATGAGGTTGTTCAAAGTGACTCATCAGCTAGGGATGAAATCATACCAATCATTCGAATGACATGGTGTAGTAATTATGAAAATGATTATAAACAACTCTATGACCACATCAAGAATGAATACGAAAGAGAAGAAACGAATCTACTCTCACTGGGTCAACTAGAATATAGAATGGGCAAATTTGACGTGGCTGAAAAATACTATCATCAATCGCTAAGAGAATATCCATCGAATGATATTTGTCGAAGTGCAATTTATCATAATCTTGGTATGGCGGCAAATGCAAAAGGTGAATATGATACAAGTCTCGAATGGTACAACAAATCGGTTGGACTTCTTGTAGCCTCTCGTCCATCTAATCATGTACGAATCGGTATCACATACAACAGTATGGGTAATGTGTATCGAAATAAAGGAGATCGCAGCCGAGCACTGAAATTATACAATCGAGCGATATCGATATTCAAACACGCAGACGATCAAAATCATCCATATGTAGCTTCGTTTTATAATAACATTGGTATTATCTACTATGAGGAGAAGAAATATTTGCAAGCACTTGATTTTTATGAAAAATCTCTTAATATTAAAAAGAAGCATTTGACAGCTGATCATCCTTTTTTGGGTGGCCCGTATGACAATATTGGCATTGTACATCGATATCTCGGTCAATATGATTTTGCATTGAAATATTACAATCGATCATTAGAAATAAGATTAAAGTCACTTCCTGATCAACATCCTGATATTGCTATGACCTACATGAACATAGCAGTTGTTTATGAAGAGAAAGATGACTTTGAACAAGCATTGGTATTTTTTCATAAGGCGCTAAAAATCTACGAAGTCTCATGGACTTTGAGTCACCCTGATGTAGTTAACCTGAAGGATGTTATTCGAAGACTAGAGGATAAAATGAAGAGAACGGAAACAAATATAAAATCCAAGACAAGAAAGTAGAAGTTTGTTTTTGTATATCTATAACTGATATTGTCAAAACATCAAATAAAAGCATGTATTCTATGTTGGAATATGATTGACGCTTATGTCTTTCTCTTTTCGAATATATTTTAGACATAGATAATATAAGACGTACCTGATTATATTCCATCTAAAATCAGATTTCATATGTATCCTAGTTCCAAATCTCTCGCGTTATTATTTAATAATCGCTGGGCAGATATATCACATATAGCTTGTATGATGCCGATTATAGATGGCATGCTAGCTATATACTCAAAGCATATAGTAAATCAAACTATACAGTGTTTATGGATTAACAAGACTCGATACTTCAGTCAATGATAGCTCTCTTGAGAACAATTTAAATTCATCTAGAAAGCCAAAATATTGTCCTGTCGTGATTATACCGGCAGTACATGAACCAGCAGCACTACTTAGAGATGCATCCATTGTGAGAGTAACAGGGACATCGGTAGCACTATAATTACAGGACGAAGCTGATGCAACAAACAGTGTACCATTCATCCATAAACGGAGTCCATTCGAACTTTCATAAGTAATAGCTACATGAGTCCAGGCATTTATGGGAACTGTAGGTTCGGTAAGTGGTGTAGAACCACTTGTCGAACATCCTTGCGCTCCTAAGTTCCCTGTATTAATGAAGTCTAACATCTGTATTGACCAACTGATTCCTATTGTTGTAGATGCCACATGAATGATTGCTCCAGCCGTAGTAGCTGTTGAAGTAATCCAGATGACCTTCGAGTACGAGTTAATCGATGTATCTAATAAAACTAGACCTTGAGCTTGCATTTACGAGTCGCGCATTAATAAACTCAAGCCTCCAGAGATCCGACCAGATGTTGTGTATAAAAGGCTTGTGCCTGTTCCATTTATACCCAAGGAACCACTATCTAAAAGTATATTGTTGAATGTATAAGCTACGTTGAGTGTAACATTCGAAAGTATTTCAGAGGCTCTAAAAATATAGGTAATCAGTAATGTCTGTCATATGTAGACAATCTACTTACTTCTTTGCCCGAGAAAAATAGCACACTTGATCGATACAATCATTCCAGTAGTTCAAGGGAAAAAAGACTTTATTAGTACCAATTATCATATTTCCAGCAGTACCTTTATAGAGACGTCGGGGCGAGTTTGGTGCATCAAGTACTCCATTGATATAAACATATTGGGTGAGTGTTAAGTAATCGTAAATATAGGCCATCTACAAACAATGAGTAAAAATAATTACTTTGATAGTATTTATAAATTCTCTTACGTGATACCAGACGTACGGTAAAAGAGTTTGGTAGCCTTGGGTGTTATCGTTGTAAAAGCCAATATAGATACGTTGATTTCGTACGCCAATGTGGAGAAAATGATCTTGTGTATCCTGATCGAACTGATCAGAAATAGTATTGTCAGACCGACCATTTATAGCTATTTTGGGTGAAAGATGTAACTTTCACCCATGCACGCAATGTAAACGATGCGTAGGCCATGTTGAGAAACGGTGGTGTTAATATATTAATTGATTGATAGGTTGAAGCATTCAAGTAGATGCAAGAATCACACCCATTGATATCTGGAGAATTGTAGGAAGGTCCATTGATACCTACGCCGGGGAAATTGTTATATAAATGTTGAAGATTATTGTTCCAAGGATCAAAGTATCTAAAAGTGAATATTGTATGTCTGTTAGTGCTTGGCATTTAAATTCGCCGTATGCTTTTTTTTTTATGTAGCATCTAGTGTCTCAAGTTCTTTTTAAGGCATACAATAAATGAAATTTCAGTACAACATTCAGTGACAACAGAGAAAAATTTATTATTTTTCAAAATTCAAATGAAACATAGTTTACTATGCAATAGAAGTATGTGCCAGAATTCTTACAAGAGTCACAAGTTCACTGAAGTATCAAGCGAGGATTTATGCAAACATTTTGTGGATAATCAATGCTCGCTATTGGTAGCACATTATCAATATGCAGGAGGGTGTGGGTGTGCAGAGAGATACGAACACCCATACCCACATCCACCCGCATCCACACCCCCACCGAAAAGAACATTTCATATGCAAATACTATTGTTGTCTTTCCTTTTTTCTTCACGATAATTTGCTACCATATTCACTCTGTCATCATGCGTTTGCAAAAGAAAAGAAGCTAAAAACATCTACGGATAACATTTAGAAAAATAATTGAAACAACGTACGAGGGTATTACCATCGAACAAATACCAGTTGATGATGAAAGACAAAGGGGATATAAAGCATGATGGTCTCATTTAGACGATTAATTCATACATCTAGTTGTGTTCAGTAGCAATAATTGAACGAATCAAATAACTACATACTAGATCTTTTATCTTATCTTTTCTAGCTTACGATATGATAGATTATTATGCGCTTGTTTCAGAAGATCCATTTAGAGCATTATGTTTTCAAATAGTTATCCCGTACAATGACTATTCCGAATATTAGACGTACTGAAAGCTAAAATGAGTCATACTCGTAGGCAACGTATTAGAGCAAAGAAAATGAAAGAATATGCTTACCCAGGTCGAACAGTCCGGCCTGGAAACGTCGGTTCTAGGTAGTTTCCTTGATTTTGTGGAAGCAGCAACCTGGTTGGAAACTTTTCGGATTTTTCCGGTGATTTCCGATCAATTCCTGCCGGAAAGCACCGGAGCTTGGCAGGAATTCGCCGGAAAAGTCCGACCGTATTTTTGACCGGAATACTGCTTCCATGTTCCAGCGATTTCCCGTGTTCTCCTGCAGGATATGGTGACTTTCCCGCATATTCCCTGGAGTATCCTAAGGGATCTGGTGGTCGGAATGTTCGACCTGGGTAGCCAATTTATCGTTGTGCTGGTGGAAGAAGACATCATGCGTTTGCAAAAGAAAAGAAGCTAAAAACATCTACGGATAGCATTTAGAAAAATAATTGAAACAACGTACGAGGGTATTACCATCGAACAAATACCAGTTGATGATGAAAGACAAAGGGGATATAAAGCATGATGGTCTCATTTAGACGATTAATTCATACATCTAGTTGTGTTCAGTAGCAATAATTGAACGAATCAAATAACTACATACTAGATCTTTTATCTTATCTTTTCTAGCTTACGATATGATAGATTATTATGCGCTTGTTTCAGAAGATCCATTTAGAGCATTATGTTTTCAAATAGTTATCCCGTACAATGACTATTCCGAATATTAGACGTACTGAAAGCTAAAATGAGTCATACTCGTAGGCAACGTATTAGAGCAAAGAAAATGAAAGAATATGCTTACCCAGGTCGAACAGTCCGGCCTGGAAACGTCGGTTCTAGGTAGTTTCCTTGATTTTGTGGAAGCAGTAACCTGGTTGGAAACTTTTCGGATTTTTCCGGTGATTTCCGATCAATTCCTGCCGGAAAGCACCGGAGCTTGGCAGGAATTCGCCGGAAAAGTCCGACCGTATTTTTGACCGGAATGCTGCTTCCATGTTCCAGCGATTTCCCGTGTTCTCCTGCAGGATATGGTGACTTTCCCGAATATTCCCTGGAGTATCCTAAGGGATCTGGTGGTCGGAATGTTCGACCTGGGTAGCCGATTTATCGTTGTGCTGGTGGAAGAAGAATTTATTTGGTAGTTTACCATTTTCGATAATGAATATAATATTAATCAACAATAATACCGAGAGAAGTTTTTGTAGAAAAGTGCATTTGAATAAATAAAACAATCGAAATTGAAGTTGCACATTTTTCTCTGGTAATGCATGCTAAAAAAATCACGACGAGGAGATCACGAACTATTCAGCATCACTACTCGAGTAGAACACAGTATTACTGTAAAATCAAACGAGAGATTTTACAATGTTTTATGATAGTTGGATTTTATTTCAATATTTTTATCGAAGTGAAATATGGATTGCATGAATAAAAATTCTTTTTTTTTCACATTTGAATAAGATTTATTGTTGAAATGACAAGCAGAAAATAAAGAATGTTCTAGTAGTGTGCAATACCATAGCCAAAAATAGTTGGGATGATTTGTTGGAGGAGACGAGTACCAATGTTTTCATATTCCTGTTGTTGACGTTTTGCTTCCATGTCAGCATTTTGTGCAGTTGTAAGACCATTGAAATATTGCGTACAGTTCGATGAGAGAAGAGCTACATTGGTACTATTTTCAATATAGGCTACTTCTTGTACTTTTTGTTGAAGAAATTGTGCAAATGATTCATTCAAGTTCAATTGTGTAATAACCGCTTGAATGTTGCTAAGAAATTCTTCAGCCAAACTGATATTGGCACACAATTTTGATGCCCACATATTGGTGTTACCGCCCGATGGAAAATGATCGCCACCGTCAGATGGAACATGATCGTCACCGTCTGATGGAAAATGATCGCCACCGCCTGGAGGAAATTGTTCATCCCAATATGGCGCAGCCGTAGCAAGGCTAAAACATATCTAAAAACAAGAAGGATATATATATATATATATATATATATATATACTTGTTGATGCAAACATGAATCAACTTACAAATGTTATTACGATGAAGACCTTTTGCATGTTTTTGCAGGAAATTATTCTGTACGAAATATTTCATTTCCTCTCCTGTATTTATAGATGTCAAAGAGCTAGAATGAAAAAAGAGAAGAAAAAGATTGCACTTTTTTGTTCGATGATTGGAATCAACAAGAATGGAACTAGTGATGGCGTATATAGACGAAAAGCGATATTATTTCGAATACCTATTAATTTACCATTATTTTATATCAGGACTCGGGGATGGGGAGAGGAAAAGCGCAAAATATAATTGATGAAATGTACTCCCCTCTACACCTTAATTGACATTTTGCGCTTGTACTTTTCTTGGCACTGAGATACACCACTATTATCATGAGTGCAATATATTAGCCGAAAAGTACAACCATCTGAAGAATATGTTTAAGTCATGCTCCGTTAAAAGAAAATCATTCCAATGACTATTTTATTCATTTGTATCGAAAATGCTAATTCAAAACGAAACGTCAAAGTTATCATTTCTATTCCTCTTGTCAATATTATTCAAATAATTCCTCTTGAATGATGAAACGGGCTGTCAGCAGTACCTATCTATTAGAATTGTAGAGTAAAATAAAAAATCAATAAATTGAAAAACAATTTATCTAATTATATTGAAATTAATTGTTGCTCTTGGACTGTTTTTATTTTTTTATTTCGACCACAAGAGCTTTGTTTTAGTTAGTAGGTCACTCATTCTAACTGCGCTATGTGCTTTAAGCATAAAAATTTTATTTATAAGAGATGATTAGAAAATGTCTCACATTAGCTCACGATATTATTCATCTATAATAGTTGCACACGCCTTGAATAATGACGTTGGCAGCAGTTGTTGGTATATTTTAGTGCTATTAAAACCGGTAAGATTACATTGGTAGTAGGGGTGGTACTTTATATTTAGTTTACTCGTAAATAGGTAAATAGACTATTTACTAGCTACTTTTATAGAGAAAAAAAATTATTTATTATTTACCTCTGTAAAGTAAATAAACTATTTACTATTTACTTTTAAAAAATAAATAAATAATTTTTATATGCGAATAATAATAAAGCACCATCACAAAAGCGATGTTTACATCTAAAATCATTTGATTATTCCATAACGCAGTGTTTTTTTCAGCTGTCAAAAAGACTCTTATTTTTCTTTTCTTTTTGCAATTACCACTTCAGAATCACAGTAGATACACTCTAAATAAAAAGCGCTTTCCCAGAAACCGAAATCCCTTCGCAAACTCTTTCGGAAGCTCACAAGCGTATCCGGAAAGGTTTTCGGCTCTAAGCTGAGCTTTTAAAATCACCTTATAGGTTTCCGAGTCCTCCGAAACGGTTCGGCTTTCGACAACTTTTTATTCAGGAACCTTTTGGATTTCTGGGGGTTGGAAAAGTTGAAAGCGTATGCCAGAATACTAGCTCGGTTTCCGAACATATCTCGAAAACCCTTCGAGATTTCCAAATTATCAGAAACCTATGAGTTTCCGAGAAAATGCCTCGGAAAACGATTAAACATAGTGGAAAACCGAACTAGTATTAAAATTTTATCTTTCTCATTTTCGCGTTGCCATTGTATGATTTACATTTTTAGGAGGTACTCTGCAGCTATAACAGAAATCGTCTTCAGTGGAAGCGAAACTGTTTTTCTGAAACTTTTCGAATCCTTGAGATACAAAAACATTCTTCTTTTTCAAAAGAATCTTGTTTTATTTTTACATTCCTAGTTGTATATAGTTGTAAAATATATTAAATGACGAATTTTGCTTTGAAACTTTGTGCACTGCACTAAATCGTCATTCCATTCAAGAAATTTCGTTTTTCTCCTATTTATTGAATTAAGTTTTTTTCATTATACAAACATTACTATCTTGGAAAACATTGGAGTGAAACACGGGAAGTTCTTAAAGTTCTTATGTTTAAAGATTCTTTTAACGAATTTACATAAAAGCTTTATAAGCAATCTTATGCTTGAAATAATGAAGTATCCATTTCTAATAAACTGAAAGAAGCATTATTATTCTAGAAACAAAAAAGATTCTTGAGATGTATCCGCATAAATACTGAGGAGTCATAGTATTATTCCATTTTCTTTGTGTTCTTGTTCTTTCTTCGCATGCTTATTTTGTATTTCGAATAAAAATAAAGACAAGTGTCTCTCTAATAAAGAGATATTTTATTATGTATATGCGGTCTAGTATTGTTTACTTCAACTGTTGTAAAGTGAATTGTGATTTGAAGATGAGTGGCTGCTAGTTGTCATATACTTTGAAATATATAGTTTTCTTAACTCAGATAACTTACATTGAGCTCCTAGGAAGAGTAAACTAACATCTATTTATGAAAAAATTGGTGTATTTTGTTTTAATCCTTTTCGTGTATATTCTTATTCAACTGGATAATTTATTCAACTCCTCCAAAATGTCTCTATGTTTTCGTCAACAACCAAAAATACTTTTCTTTCACCTGCAAATTAATCAATGAAATTCCAATAATTCATGACAATCTCTTATTTTCTCTTGATGCATTTCTAGTTACCAAAGAAGACTCATCTCTGTCAAATGTACCAAAACACAAATAATTTTCGAACTCGATTCGCGACAAGAAGATATGAAGGTAGTTCTTCAAGCACTCTGATATTGCTATCCAAACTAAGATGCGTGCACACAGTACATGAAAATTACTAAGGATTCTGCTTTTTATCATTATAGATGAATGCCTTGATCCATTATTGTGGATGGGCAATGTTTCAGTATGGCTACTCCCCCCAGATTTGGAAGCCGCGGCTTTCTATTATGACATTTCGAATCGCTCCTTTTTTGGTGGCGTTCTATCGGAGGTGGCCTTCTATTAAGGATTTTTCGGAGAATTCTATCTATAGCTATGCTATTTATTTTGCATTTTTGCTGCTCGTTTTATTCATTTCAAGCAGTAGAATGCGCTCTATTTGTTGATTATACTGTTTTCTATCGTAGATGAATGAAAAAAAAGTATATTTCGGCTATCTGTAACACAATACACTCTATATGTACACATTTCATTACCATGACATTCTATTATATCTAGCGAATCAAACATTTGAGGGTGGCGCTCTATCCTGCGGGGGGGGGGGCTTACATAAATTTAATTCGAATGACGATATAGTTACTGATTTTAAAGTAAGCTGTTTAAAGTCCCCACCAAAGTTATTCTATGACCAAATGATCACCATTGTTTACCTTTTTATTCCTTCATCTTCAATCCTTACGGTTGAAAAATAAGTTTTTATTTAACGTCGTCTATTGAAATGCATGTTTCAAATATTTTAGTATTCATACATTACGATTGAATTTATTTTATGATTTCAAAGGGCAGCTCAAAGATTACACATAAATTACCAATTTTTATCTTATTTTTATTTTGAAATAGAAATATTTCTAAATATGTCAAAGTAGAGATTTTTATGTTCATTTTGCTTCATACTATATTTTTCTTCATTAAAATTCATTAAAACTCATGAAAAGAACTATAATATAGTGAGCTCATTTACTTCAACAAAATATATTCTTTTTCTGCATTTAAATTTCCGAATACAAGACGAAACAGTGAGTTTGCTTTATTGAATTATATGTATTTTGTTTTTCATTTTGATTTATGAAATGAATTCTGACGAAGTACTATATTCTCAGATCTCGACTGATCACAGAAGTTTGGCTTAGGAGAACTTACAGAGTTTATGACTTTCTGAGATTTAAATATTGAATGATTTGAACTTTAGGCTGATTTCAACACTGACTTCGAGAGTCTAGGACTTGAGGACTCTAACTTTAGCAATAAGCACCAGGCTTTTATAGATAGCGAGAGTCTGGTACTATAGGGTTCGAACAGGCATCGGATGTCTTAATTGAAAGACAATGGCATTGGCGAAGATGAAGGCCTTCTGAGTAAGCCTCAATTGAGGATTTTGAGCTTTTAGATTCATGAAGACTTCGTGACTGCAATGAATTTGAGAACCCTTAGATGTCTGTTGTTAAAATACTATTCATAACGAAAAACCAATTTGGCAATGTCGGATACGTATGTGAATCGGTTGCTGATGTGTAGCAGTGGAAAACGCTTGAAAGGTTTCCGATACTTCGGAAACCTTCAATAGGTTTTTGAGATCGCCAGCTTGCTTGGTTGCTTGTGAGAGTTTCCGATAAGTTTCCAAATGTTCGGAAACTCTTCCCCGGAAACCTCCTATTCATTTCCCAGAAAACGGATTTTATTTAGAGTTTACCAACACCCTCTATCCTCTACTTTCTGATTTTGCAACAAAGAATTAAAACGAAAACAACTAATTGAGAAGAACAATAGAGAACGAGTGAAAATTATAGATGTGCTCAATTCAATCGATCGTGTCATCGTCCTCCCAGAGCCTGTAGCCTTAATTAATTTCTTACTGGCTATGTAAAGTAGGATTGTGCTTCAATATTTTGCATCAAAAAATAATTTATTTTTCTTTGTTTCTTCACATCGCATGGTTTCCAATCAAATGGATTTTTTTAATTTAATCTTTCTTAGATGAAGCCCTATGCACATCTTGACAACAGCCATCGCTCACTGTTTACTTTCATAACATTCTTCTTGTTTCCACTGCTGTGCTCTCTCTCAATTCAAACTTTGATCTGTGTTATTTTTTCTCTTGTGTGAAAAACGAAATGAGTTTCTTTTATGACAAATCATCATTATATTTGTATTCTACAGCTGGTAGTCGTTATAACGCATGACTTTCAACTGTTCTTATGAAATATTTATGAGTACTCTTCTATTATCTACACTTTCAGCTATGCTCGTATTCGTTACCAATATTAGCGATGAGCTTTTACGTCAGGGAAGTTAGCACAAGATTCGAGTTTTTCCAGCCCGGATTCGCCTATATGGTTGTGTTGAATTTCATTTTCGTTGTGTTGGATGCAGAATTTTGCGCTGAATCGAATGGTGTAATTTTTAAAGGGGGTTGCCGATCAAAATCTGACACTTTATCCGAAAATACTGCTTTTTCTGAAAATCTTGTAGAAGTAATTTCAGCCCGGATTCGTTGCTTTACCTGTGTTGGTTCTGGAAATGGTTGAGTTGAATTCAGAATGAAATTCTGCATCGAATGATGCTAAACNTAAAATTATACCATTCGATTCAGCACAAAATTCTGCACCCAACGCAACGAAAATGAAATTCAACACAACCATATAGGCGAATCCGGGCTGGAAAAATTCGAATCTTGTGCTAACTTCCCCAACGTGAGCTTTTCTTGAATAGAATTTCCATAAAAGTGACAAAGATCAATGTAAATAGTCTCAGCTTCTCATGTATCAATAGTGAATCGAAATACTGTGGCATATTTTAAACCCATTGTTCCGTAAGTTAGCATCATTGATACTCGCTTTTTGTTTGAATAATATGAATAATTTTCGATATAAAGTTATACATGCGCTGTAACAGGAATACATATACTCTAACAATAGTTTTTCAAAAAAATTCACTTCAACTCACATCCACATACTCAAGAGTAAGAGCAAGAGCACGAGGATAAAATTCTTGGCAGGTTCATTTCCATTGTTGACTTAACATTTCCATTATTCTTTTGTATCATACTGGTTATTCATCAGCGAAGCAAAATTTATGAGTATGCCATTGAGTAGTGTCATGTATCCAAGATTTTTTATAAGTGCTCACTTCTTCCGCAGGAGATGCGGCAATTTACTGTTGGAGATGTATCAGCTCATTGAGCGATGTACATCCCTCACACTGAGTGCTGCACCTCTCGCTGAAAATGCACCATTTTCCCGCAGAGATGTGAGCACGTCTACAAGATCTTGGATATGTGGCACTGCTGATGTCATTACAGAAAACATGCATTCCATTATAGCAAATATCTGACATTCTCGAAGGAGCAGTCCAGAACAGTTGGAGAAATGAGAATTCTTGAAATAATAGATCTTAAATGCTGCTAGATTTCTATTCTAGGCTTATTATGTAAACACCATCGCAAAGTTTGACACCCTTCGGATTCTTTCTATGTAAAAATGGTTAGAATTAGGATATTTTCTGATCGTTATTGATCTAGAGAACAGCATCTTTCTATCGCTATTTTCTTTTCTTTTTCTAATAACCAAAAGTATGAATGTGATATCGCTTGGGGACTCAAAATCTATAGATTTATAGGCAAAGCATTCAGTTTTTCTCTTTTTGCTACATCAAGAAGCAATTATTATCATCACAACTAATTAATTTTTATAATCAAAAGCTACGAGAGATTTGAAACAGCGAGAAAAGTCTTCTTTTAATGATACTTCAAAATCTCTTTTTTCATTTGCTTAGATACAATAATCTTCTTATTTTCTACTAATTATTTGCGAAAAAATCAGTAGAAAATAATCTTTTTTAGATGAACAATACATCATTTGTAAACTTTGAAATTTGATCGACTCGATCAAAGTCTGATCTAAGTATACTATGCAACAATCTTCTAGTGAATTCATTCAACTGTTCCTAATAACTAGACTATAATAAATCGGCATGCATTTAATGTAATATCTAAATTATATCAATATTGCCTAACTTAATACATTAGTATCTATTCTGGTGAAAAGACGCCATTAAAAAAGTTGTTTAATCCAATTTTTTAATTCAACATCTATTAAATCAGTTAGATATCTGAATTTAAAAAAAGTGTTCTGTCTTTTAATTCAATATATGATCACTTTTAACAAATGACTATCATTGAATTTATCGACTTATCTAATTAATTTGAACGTAATCTATAATTGATAAGTACTTATCAATTAATTGAAAAGGTATATATGAGCTGGGAATGACGATAAGTGATAAGAAAAAAGTTAGTTTAGAAAATATCTTGGGTGGAGTGTGAGTGTGAAGAGAGACTAGAATACCCACATCCACACCCTCAAGATATTTACCCCTAATAAATTTGATAGTTTCCGATAATTTAAATAAAATCATCGTCACTAACTATTGTCTATATCTAATTTCAGATATTCTATTCTTTCCTTCAAATTTAGTCTTTTTATCGTTTAACATGGCAAGTGGTGCTGAAATAAAAGCTCAACGCAATCGTGTGCTTGATGTTGGTCAGGAGCCGCTCAAAATGCTCTTACCAATATGTGGATACGAGGATTCACCCTTAGTCTCACTTGAAAAAGCTGTTAAACCACTTTTGGCAATTCTTCCTGACGTAAAATACGATGCTCATACTGCGAAACGAGAATCTGCGGAGAGGCCAGCCAACGGTCTAACCAGGGATGAATCAGCAGCTATCATATTGTACTCAATGGAAGGAAAATCTCGTGAAAAAAGCCTCTACTATACCCTCAACAGCATACTTCGATCGGAAAACAGAAGTAAACTAGAGCCATGGTTTCTGTATTTAAAACTTTTTATGAGTGGGCTCACTCGTCTTCCATCAGCTCGTCAATTTGTTTATCGAGGAGTTAAAATGGACTTGAGCAAACGCTATAAAAAAGGAGATGTGTTCATTTGGTGGGCATTTTCATCTTGTAGTGCATCGCTTGAAGCACTCGAAAACGAAGACTTTTTGGGTCGAACTGGTAAAAGAACACTGTTCACCATCGATTGTGACAACGGAAAAGATATAAGTCAACATGTGTATTATCAGTTGGAGAAAGAAATTCTACTCCCTGCTGCTAGTCAATTCGAGGTGGTCGCTTCTTTAGAACCAGCAGATGACTTTCATATTATTCAATTAAAAGAGATTCAATCTCAAGTTGATCTCCAGCATCCAGTTTCAGTAATTTTGAACTCGAAAACCAAGTCTTTATCTGGTAAGAAAAAGCAATATTCTTGCTTTGATTTTTACTCCGCTATTTTACAAGTGAACAACTTATTAATAGCATAATTAGCAATTATGCATAAAATAGGATTGAGCATAAATTGAATACAATGAAAGACGACTTCAAGTTAACAGGCAGTTAAACATGATCATTCCTGTATATGTCTCTTTCTCTGTAAAAGTCAAATGTATCAAGGAGCAGTATTTCTTTCCAGAATGGTAGACACCAAACGAACGTTCTCAAGAAATCTGTTTTTTTTATGTTGCCAATTCACACTGAATCACTCTTGTAGAATAACCAGGATCCCACGAGTCTCAATTTCATGATTAAAAACAGAAAAAATTAATTATTTTCTCTCACAAATATCGTTGAGTAATGTCAATTATAAAATATTAATACTATTCTGATTTGTGAAGACTGAACTCATCTGACGAAGCCAAGATGCAAGCTCCTCATCGTTTTTTTGATCATTTCTCTCTTGTTCTAAACGCAGAGATATTTTTAAAAAATGAATGGAATATCTCGATCAAATCATTTTATGAGACAGTTGATATTTTACTTTTGCAGAAAGAGACAGGATTTCATCTTTTTCGATGCCAACAATCATTTTGTTTTACTCTCAATAGTTACGAAACAAGACACACACAATATGGTTCCTAATTTAATGAACAGCAAAGTCGACCATTTGAAAATTATAGAACAACCCACGAACACTACAGTACAAGAATCAGGTAAGATATGTATAACATTCCAAAATTTTATTACTGGAAGACAATTGATGTGCATCCCCCATTCAACATGTTTAGGAGTCTCTGTGTTGGTAAAACAATAGACTAAAAGAAGCCGTAGTGACTTACATTTTCAGTTCCAGTGATGTCCTATTCGGTACGACCGTACATTTTTATCTAAGTTATTTACATGATAAGGTATGGCACTAGTAAATTCGCATACAAATCTATATAGGGGCTTATTATTGCTTGTGTGATCGACAGTGCGCTGTGATGAATATTGTACTCATTTTTTCTATGGGTTGACACTGTGTTTTAGGAAAAATCTAACGCTCCTTATTAAGATGTAAGCTATGAACGATGTTGAAGATAGATCAATCACGAGCGCAGATGTATACTGTCAAGAAAGAAACAAAATATAAAACTCGAAAAAGTTCAATATCATAACTTTCTCAAGTCAAATTTTTCCAGTCAATATTGAAAAATGCTTTCTGTTGAATTCAAAACTATGTGTGCATGATACTAACGGTCAATAATGAAATGGATAATGTACTTTTGGAAGTAGCATAGACTATGAAACAGCCGATATATGTACGCTTCAAAATATAATAACATACTGTCTTTTTCAAGTATAGTTGAAGAATGTAGCAGTTTCCACGAAAAAGATACTATTGAACATTGTCAAACTAAAGTTACTTTTAGATCCTTATACAACACTGCATTTAATCATTGATTGAGTTTAATTTTTTCTATTAATACTTGATTGATTACGGCATAATTATTAAATAAAAGAGATGATTTTCGTATCTCCATAACAACCTCTTTCAGATCACAATTTTACATATTTTTTTGTTTCAGATGCATCAAAGTCAACTAAACGCCTGCTCATTCCTACAGAGCCGAAGTTCAAATCAGAGTTACCAAAATCAGGTAAATTTCTTAGAACGCGATATTATTTATGATTATAAGTAAAAGTTCAATGGCAACTCATACTTTCTCTCTTGAGAGATCCAACGATAAGAAGTGCCACTACACTTTTTACATCATTCAATATCGATGAGAGACATGAATTCTCATAGATTTATATGTTTTGGGCTCGTGATTACACATCGATAGGACGTCTTCATATTCATATTGAAAGAGAAAAAATTTTAAGCAATTCAGGTCATTACTGACTTTTGCCAGAGATGTTGGCATTTTCACCTATAGACTTCCGAAAAGAATAATGAAAATTAAGTAGATGTAACAAAATCTCTTTTGATCCGTCGCGATAGTGTCCCACAGATATTCATGAGAAAATAACAAATTCCGAATAATTCTAAGAGAGTTACAATGCTTGGAAACATTCGAGTAAATTGAATAAATCTTGAGAATATCCTACGAGATCGTCATGAAAAACTCTAATGTTGAGAAGGAAAATTTCTTCAAACTAAATAGAAATCATTCAAATACTGGTAATATAGTGGACCGATTGTCGATAAATACACACAAATATAGTAAACTTAACTAAGTACTCTTTTGCTGAAATTTGTATGGCGTTGCATTTTACAGATTCTATTCTCAATATTACTACAAAATCCCTGTGGGCAGAGAATGCGATCACAATTGCAGGTGGATACGGGAAAGGCTATGGATTAAATCAGCTCAATAGACCTTGTGGTATTTATGTCGATGATGACCAAACAGTCTTCATTGCTGACACAGATAATCACCGCATTGTAGAATGGCAAATTGGTGAAAAGACTGGTCAAATAGTAGCTGGTGGAAATGGAGCAGGTAATAGAATAGATCAATTGTATCAACCAACCAATGTTGTTCTTGACAACGAGACAAATAGCCTTATCATTTGCGATTGTGGAAATCAACGAGTACTGCGATGGCCTCGTCGACATCAAGCAAGTGGAGAAATTCTCATTGGAAATATCAATTGCTGTGGACTGGCAATCGATGCCCAGGGATTTCTCTATGTCTCTGACACTAAAAAGGATGAAGTGAAGCGATTTCGTATAGGAGAATCCCGTGGAACAAAAGTGGCGGGTAGTGTTGGTCGAGGAGATAATCTTAATCAACTCAATTGGCCCACACACATTTTTGTAGATCGAGATCAATCAGTCTACGTCGCTGATACATGGAATCATCGTGTAATGAAATGGATGAAAGATGCAAAAGAAGGAATTATTGTGACTGGTGGTCGGATGGAAGGGAATGCCCCATGTCAACTATCAGGTCCTAAGGGCATATTCGTCGATCAATCTGGCACAGTATGTGTAGCGGACGGTGGAAATCATCGAGTGATGCTCTGGTACAATGGAGCGACACAGGGGGAAATTATTGTCGGTGAAAATATTAGAGGACAACAAGCAAATCGGTTGGCTGATCCGGAAGCTTTGTCATTCGATAAATACGGTAATCTGTATGTCGTTGACTGGGGAAATCATAGAATTCAACGGTTTTCACGTGAAAAATAAATTGATGTGTTTGCAATCATGCGTTTAACAAATTTGTGTTTCTCGCGTACTTTAATATAATACATGGTAAACTTTTAAAAGATCATTTTTTTGCATTTAAATTCACTTCATGTAAGAAGTACTCTTCTTTCACTTGTCGATCGTTCTTCATCCATTTGCAGGGTATGCATATGATGATTGTCAATGTTGAATTTAGATGCGCAATTGCATTATTTACTGAAAGAACAACAACAAGAGTCTAAAGGAAATCGACCAATCTGCGGTAATGGTTATTTATTTGCTAATGTGAAAGCATGCAGACGATTTTTGATTACTTGTTTCTTTTAAAAGCTCATCATTGGGCTAAAATGGTGTACATGTGCGTTGATGTTGGCTGATCCAAGTATATCACAGCACACACACAAAACCAAACCTCAAGAATATTTAGTTACTCTCTTATGTTAGTCTTTATTCAACTATGATAACTTATAAAATCTAGTCACATCTAATTTGCTATAAGGAAATTCTAATTACTTTTCATTTCTTCAGAAAACATATCGAAAATTATATGATATAAAACTGTTTTTTCGTACATAGTCTCACTCTACGATCTGTGTCCATTTTGTAGTTGTACTTGCTTTTCATGATTAATTATGAATAACTCCCGGCTTTGCTTTATAGCATTCATTTGTTCATTTATTGTAGATAATTCGCTAATATACTTCATATCTGCATTGATACGAGATAAATCGAAACGGTCTCTTTGTTTTATAGATATTTTTTCCATATCTTGCTGATAATGACGTTTGAGGTCTTTGAGGGAGCGATATAAATAATAGTTGAGATCACTCGGAATGAAATGTGAATAAATGAAATATTCTTCATGAATCATTCGATCAATACCAGACAAGAACGAATCGTCTTGTGCGTTATTCGAATAGTATAGAAGAAATTTTGCAAGATACACACTTCGTTTGATTAGTTCAAGAATATCAGCCGTTCCACTAGCATTATATTTTNTTTGTCATTCGATAAATACGGTAATCTGTATGTCGTTGACTGGGGAAATCATAGAATTCAACGGTTTTCACGTGAAAAATAAATTGATGTGTTTGCAATCATGCGTTTAACAAATTTGTGTTTTCTATTTTCATTTTTCTCGCGTACTTTAATATAATACATGGTAAACTTTTAAAAGATCATTTTTTTGCATTTAAATTCACTTCATGTAAGAAGCACTCTTCTTTCACTTGTCGATCGTTCTTCATCCATTTGCAGGGTATGCATATGATGATTGCCAATGTTGAATTTAGATGCGCAATTGCATTATTTACTGAAAGAACAACAACAAGAGCCTAAAGGAAATCGACCAATCTGCGGTAATGGTTATTTATTTGCTAATGTGATAGCATGCAGATGATTTTGATTACACGTTTCTTTTAAAAGCTCATCATTGGGCTAAAATGGTGTACATGTGCGTTGATGTTGGCTGATCCAAGTATATCACAGCACACACACAAAACCTCAAGAATATTTAGTTACTCTCTTGTGTTAGTCTTTATTCAACTATGATAACTTATAGAATCTAGTCATATCTAATTTGTTATAAGGAAATTCTAATTAGTTTTCCTTTCTTCAGGAAACATATCGAAAATTATATGATATAAAACTGTTTTTTCGTAAATAGTCTCACTCTATGATCTGTGCCCATTTTGTAGTTGTACTTGCTTTTCATGATTAATTATGAATAATTCCCGGCTTTGTTTTATAGCATTCATTTGTTCATTTATTGTAGATAATTCGCTAATATACTTCATATCTGCATTGATACGAGATAAATCGAAACGATCTCTTTGTTTTATAAATATTTTTTCCATATCTTGCTGATAATGACGTTTGAGGTCTTTGAGGGAGCGATATAAATCATAGTTGAGATCACTCGGAATGTAATGTGAATAAATGAAATATTCTTCATGAATCATTCGATCAATACCAGACAAGAACGAATCGTCTTGTGCGCTATTCGAATAGTATAGAAGAAATTTTGCAAGATACACACTTCGTTTGATTAGTTCAAGAATATCAGCCGTTCCACTAGCATTATATTTGTGTCGGTCCAAAGAAAACTTGTAATCTAGTTCATGATCAATCGGAATATGACGTTTCAAACTGCATGTACATGAATAACATTGATTTTGGTCAAGTTTATGCTTAGTATCAAGACCTATCAAGATCTTTCCAACTCGAACAGAGTAAGAGTGACACGACGTACAAAGTGCTGTGTTAGGTACAACAGTTTTTGAACATAATTCTATTGATGCATTAGGCGACATCCTGGTATACAGAATATAATTTCTTAGCATATTTCTCATTGTTTCCAATATAGGACGGATCATACATTGAATTTCGAGTTGAGCATGCTTAAGCGATAGACATTCTCCATGGATTTGAATTGGGTTCAATTGGTTTTTGATGTATCGAAGAAAACGCATTGACTCAATTTTTGATTTAGACCAGCTAAATTTTACTTGATACATTGACCCACTATTGAATTCAAGTGAATTTTGTAAAGCCACTATATAGCGAAACGATTCGCTATCGAAATTGAACGTATTTTCTTGGTTCATTCGAATACCAAGCTGGAATACTGATTTCAATTCAGATTCGAATAAACGGATTCCATCGCTAGGATCAAATCGCGTTGAGAACGAATTTGTAAAACAGAAAATAATATTTCGACGGATATGTTCGCCAAAAAAACTGAAAAGATGTTGAAAGCAAGAATTGTAAATAGAAAATCGTGAAAAATTTGGCTTCAGCAAAAGACATACAGCATCTAAATGTGAGAAATTATTTATAAATGATAATATGGTTTGCATTTCCAAATGATCTCGATGCCAACCACACAGATTTCCAAGCCCCGGTGTATCAATGAATCGAATTTTTGCTCCATCATGCGTATGAAATAGATAGGATTTACACCGTTGAGTTGTTGAATGATAATAATTGTCGTGTTTTTCATCAGGATCTGAAGAACCGGCTAGGACATGCATTGGGGTTGCCGACCAATCCTGTGTCGTCATTACAAATGAGCTTGGAATTACTAAGATTGGTTTATGAAATCGAGTATCATCAAGTGTTTCAAATGAACAATAATTTGCAAAAGCATTTATAAAAGTCGATTTTCCGACACCAATTTCACCAAGAAGGAGTATATTAATAATTTTTTCAGTTGCGCTCAATGAAGAAACCTTAGGATATGTAGATGATAACCGTGATGTCTCCGAATGAGGTTCATATACAGTACGAATTTCATCGTTTGATAAGACATCACGTGCATTGTGTGATCTCGGAAGACGATCAAAAACATCACTATAGGGAAAAGATGATTCGTGGTATGTTTTTCGTGTGTCCAGTATTGAAGAATTTTGACCAAATTTATTTTCCGATGCATCCGTTGAATACTGAAAGTTTTCATCTTGTTCATCTGTTGTGGATTGATATTTGAATTTGTCATCATGCAGATCCTTGCCTGAATCATGTCCGTTTTGTGTCACTGGTAAATCATGAAGCGAAGGTATTTTCTCTTTTAAATTATTGAGACAAGTGATAATATTATTAATTATTCCTTGCAATTCATTTTGATGATTATCAGTCAATTCTTGAAGTGTTGTATTCGGAGAAATTTTTCCTTTACGACTATTAATAATCCAATCTTGAATTGTTTTCAGTTTTTTGCTGTAGGTTGCCTTCAATTCTGAAAATTGACTCTGTGCATCAATAAATTGTTGACGAAGATATTCACCTGATGAATGAAAAGATTTATTTTCCAATAATTTTTTTAATACATTAAATCGCAACGACAGTGGAAGTACGTAAAACTCGATTTTTTCGATAATTGATGGTTCTAATGGAATATATCTCACATCATTTTCTAAATATTGGGGACATAGAAATCGTATGGGGCAAAGCGTGTATGTCAGCGGTAAGTGACGGGTCCGATCTACTCGAAAATCGGCAATTTTATCACAAAAATCAATGATACTAGTGATTTTAGTTAATGGATGAATATTCGAATAGATAGTTGTACGATTAATGCTATGAAGTAAACGTTTTTCATCCAATGTCATACCTAGATCAGTAGCATTATCGGTTAGGCATTGACGAATTCGATCGATTAAATAATCGATTTTCGATGCATCATCAGATGATAGCTGTAGAATAGTAAGAACTTCGATTCCCCATGTGACACCCGTGATAACGTGAGTAGCCTGAGTTTCACGTGTTGTTGATTGAATTGACCGATTAATATTATCAACATTATTGCGTAATGATTCATCTCGATCTAGATAGTTATAATAGAGGAATCGTGTGTTTAAATCAATTGGTATCTTGTAATTGATTGCTTGAGCTATTCCAACAGCTGGTGTAATATTTAATTCTACACTCAAACGCAATTCATTTGTAATACCAATCAGTTGAAGAAGATTCAAGTTCTCGCGATCATTGCCTTTTTTTACAAAGCATTTCGTTGTTTTAGCTAATACAGATAATTGTTGGTCTTTAACAATAGTATCGAGTGGAACAATGAGACGATCTCGATATCCATCATAGAGTGAACCAACACTACCTCGCTCATCGATTGCTGTACGCTGCATAGAAGGCATTGTTGTCGGGGCTTTAATAATGGTCGCTGGCATATGATGCTGTTCGGTTGATTTTTCTTCAGTGTGCTGTCTCTCGCTAGTCGAGTGCTCTTCAGAATCACGGCGATCAGTTACAAGTTCGGGTGAAACACGACACCCTGGTGGGTTTGGAATATCTGAAGGCTTCCATGCTTCATGTGTCATCCACTTGCATACACATGTGATTAAGTTCTTTGCATAGATATCATCAAGCCACCTTTTAGGTAAACTCTTGTAGCCATAATGAGCTCCAGCTAATCCACCATAAATGGCTGCCGTTGTGTCTGTATCATCACCAAGATTAACAGCACGAAGAACACCTTTCTCGAACGAATCTTCATCACTCCAAAAAGCCCATAGCGCAGCTTCGAGTGCATTGATAATATAACCTTTACCTCTTATTCCATCTTCGTAACCACCAGCTCGCTTGAATGATCCTTGGGCGACATTCTGAACATCAGGATGAAGCGGCTCATTATCAAACCAATCTTTATGATTGTCGTAGAATTTATCATCCAAAAGACTGCTCTTCGGTTCACCTTGAAGAGCAGCAACTATGATAGCACCGAAATAACGACATGAATCATAGGCTTTTGGATCTCCGTGTGTAATCAGGCCACTAATACCAGAATTTTTGACAGCAACTTTAGGATTTCGATGATAAAAAAGTGGCACAGGAGCTAAACGCATGAGTGCGCCATTCCCAGCTGCTCCTTCTTGGCTACAGAAAATATTAAAGTCTTTGAGAAGTTCAGGGTCAGATAAATAATCTAATTGCTCGAACGGAATTTTCTTTTCAATTGCCAATACTTTTTGACGTTTTTCAAATTCGTTGAGAGATTGGCTCGTAGCTGAGCCAATATCAAAACAGAGTCCTGTCGATGACATATAACCATGTTTATACCACCACTTGTAGCGAACCAATTGATCATATGCTACAAAGCCACGACGTGAAACCAATGAAATAGCAAGACAAAGAGCCATGGATGTGTCATCGGTAAACTAAAGTAGATAATAGGTTAATTACGAGGGGAACTTAGAGATTGTCATCAAAAGAGAGTTAAATTAATTCTGAACAAAGCTTTTACATATTGTTGTGTCAAGAGTAATTGATGAATCTGAATCTGATTTTATTGGCTCGATTTGCATTGTACAAACGATAGAAATTTAATCACTGATTTACAAATGTAAGCAAAACTTTTGTTTTATTGTAAGAAATTGGTGTTTTAGACTAAATATTTCCTACTTGTCCTTTTTGCAGACCCCATGTTCCACCGCCTTGTAATTCTGTGACGGGATTGTCAACTAAAAAATCATGTGGTCTGAATTCAACATGAGCACCAAGAGCATCACCCAAGAGCAACCCAGTCATTGAGCCAAGGATCCTATCGAATAATTCTTCGTCGAGTTCACTGCCCGGATCTCGGATCTCGACGACGAGTTCATCAGGCTTTTTGATCGATGTTTGTTCAGCGTCGTGAAATTGTTTATCAAGCCAAGGTTTATCTAAATTTAGCCCAATAGAAGAAGTTCAGCATATTTTCATTACACATAGTCAAACGCTAATACAGTAAAATCAATTTTGTAAATTAAGCTCTTATGTAACATATAACAGACTGTAGTATTTAATCAAACTCAGTTATTGTATATAAATCATTAATAAAATCTCTGCATATTTACTGTATTTCTCAAATCGAACTAGACAGTGTCCTAATTACTTTGGGAAATAATTAAAAATTTTTTTTTACTTAAGACAAGAGTAAGTATCGGAAGACGTAATCATAACTCAAACAATTTTCTTAATATCTAATAGATTTAGATGATCTTTTACGGGAAGTCTGATTGCTTCTCAGACTCATCAAACATACTGTTTACAACTTTTTTGTGCATTTTTAGAGATTTATGAAATCGATCTCTTCGGTAGTATGAACATACATTCATTTTGATGAATGATAGGAGTAACGTAAAATGACTTCAAACGCAACTTTTCATTAATTACTATAGAGAAATGTTTTGGTGTACTTTGAATTAGAATTTCATATGTCTGTAAGATTTTTAATTTACTAATTATAGAAGTTATCAGTTGTATGCGACTTCGATAAATTACATCAGGATTTTTTGTGCCATTTTCGTTGTATAAAGAATTGAGAATATTGTTTTTTTCATCGAAAATAATGCTTTTTGTGTAGAGTTTATTTTTAATGAAAATGTCTCTTATCATTCAGAACATATATTATATGTGAAAAGTTACATGACGAATCATAATCGTACAGGCGAAAGAGTAGTATAACATCATCAAATTCTAAAATGATATTTTTTTTATACAATCCAATATACTACCCAGGTCGAAGATTCCGGCCACTGGATCCCGTAGGATACTCCAGGATATATGCGGGAAAGTCACCATATCCTGCAGGAAAACACTGGAAATCGCTGGAACATGGAAGCAGTATTCTGGTCAAAAATACGGCCGGACTTTTCCGGTGGATACCTGCCAAATTCCGACGCTTTCCTGCAGGAATTGATCGGAAATCACCGGAAAAAAACCCGAAAAATTTCCAACTAGAATACTGCTTCCACAAAATCAACGGACCTACCCGGAACCGGCCGTTTCCAGGCCGGACTGTTCGACCTTGGTAGTTAACGGGCTATCATTTTCTCGACTTGCACTATGCACAGTGTGTTTGAAACTTCTTTTCCGTGAGCCGCGATTCAAACAAGGCTTGGGTCAATATAGATCGAAATGCTAGCATGCGTGAAATATTTTTCGCTATACACATATAAACGTCAAGTACGTACCACTATGAAATTGACATGCTGGATGCATCGACTCGAATTTTTTCGTTTCTAAAATAGGAAGGATAGATAAGCGTGATAACTATAAAACATATTTGTAAAGTCTAACAAAATACAACGTCAACATACTACTGAAAATACGTTTAAAAAAAAGAGAATATTGAATACAAAAATATCACCAATAAAATATACTGTGTCATTTCATTTCTCTTCTATGACTTCATCTTACACAACGGATTTACTACTACTGCGCTTTATTCGCAGCATAGTTGCTTACAAACTACTTCTTTTATTATTGGAGCAAGTGAAGTAACGTACATGACACACGTGGTTTTTCTTCGAAGCCAATTCATTACTACATTTCTAATCGACCTCAACATTTACGTGATCAAAACTCTTCTTTCCAAGTTGTGCATAGAATAGAAGCAAAACGAAAATTTTTTTGTTCTTTCGAGGCAACCGTCTTTAATAAGTAAATACACGATAAACTCCAAGAGAAAAGAAGTAACAACAACGTTTCTTTTCAAGGATACGAAGAACACGGACACAACATAACAACTTTTTTAAAGTATCGACATGAAATCTAAATAGTAATGCATCATCCACCTCTTATCAAAGTTTTCTACCAAGCTATTAATACAAGATAAATATATCTCATCGCTTATACGAACGCCGTATTTTATGAAATATGAACTAGACAAAATATAGTTCTTACCAACAGAATAGCATTTTCCAATCAATTTTTAGATACCATCAGTTTCGTTAGAAAGCGATCTCTCGAACAAGTACATCAATATGAGTCACTATGAATTGTTTTGCAATACAACAATAGATATAAAATTTAATTGGAACATGTAGAAAATCAAGACAAATTGATATTCATTCAATAAAAAAAATAGATAGACTCGATTAGATTTTTTTAATAAAAGTTCTTTTGAATTTATAGAGTGCAATATTCTTTATCTGGTTCCATTCTGCTTATGAACAATAGATCTATGCAAGAGCTAAAATCAATTATTATCTGTTGAAGTATCACTTGTTTGATAAATAGAAATAGTTTTGCCTTCTACAAAGCTTTCTTTATGTTTTATTGAAATGACAAAGAAAAGAACAGTTGGGACCAAAAGTTTAACAAGCTTGATTAAATTAACGATTTAAGTCATAATCGTTCATTGATGGTTTCTGAAATAAAAACATGATAATAATCGAGTGATTTTCAAGCAGTTTTCCTTACATTTTATGATCACCAGGGTGGCTCGTGCTACTACCCGTACTACCTTTGATATCCTAAATTAATGATTAAAATCACGAAATGCGGTCATCTAATTATGTTACAACTTTCTCTTTTAACGTACCTTGTGATACTAGAAAAGATAAAACGCAGAAAATGAGACGAATGATTGAAACAAAAAAATAAGATAACTGTACCTGATTATCATGACCGTGATGTTGAGTAGAATATTTATCATCGGATGGAGGAGCATCGTGTTTTTCCGATTGCACATGTGGATGATCTTCCTTTTGAGCTTTCTTATCCCCATGTTCTAAATTTCAGTAGAGGTTAAACATATTATTATTTTCTCGATTCAAATTATTCAGTACCATGATATGGCTTGCCTTCTGAATTGGCATCGGCATGCGTCATGCCTTGAGTAACATTCGAATGCGACATAGTCTTTGGATGAATGAAAAATGAACTTTTAATCTAAAATCAGAAAGAGGTTACCGGGTGTATCAGTCGAGAAAGAAAGTATATAGAATAAGTATGGAAGAAGTGAACCATATATATATACTAAGGGGTCATTGAGGTTGAGTGTGAAATGAAGAAAAAAAACATTCAGTGATGTCGTAAAGTGCTGACATCAGTGCATAAAGCTTATTGGTGCGGATGCAAATAATTGTTCAGAAACTTAATTTTATTAAAAACAACTTCGCTTTATTCTATCTGTTTTTGTCGAAAATCTAGTTCCGTATGGGATCACCAGAGTTCGAACTAATAAATAAATGACCAATTATCTTTTGTCGCATCAGGTGTCGCCGCTTGATGAATACTTTGAAGAATCCTTTAAGTGAGTGTGGTTGAGCAACTCAACGTAATTACGTCGAGTGATTTCGAAATTCAAAATGAAAATAAAATAAAATAAAAGGTAAATAGCAGCGGGTAGTTTCGATCTACCGACCTCCGACTTATGAGAACGGCGCGCTCCCTCTGCGCTACACTGCTGACTAATAATATTAATCTTCGTTAGTTTATGCTGGAAATCAACCAGGTAAAACTGCAGCATTCATGAAATACTTTTTTCTTTTATTATCGAAATGAAGCTTCATTTTTATGCGACATACAATGAGATAATATTCAGATTTCATGTATTTTTTGCTTTCGGAAAGATTTGTTATGAGTAATAAAGCCAGTGACAACATTGCTTGTTGTTGCGCACTCTTATTTATGATGAAATTGAATAACTTAAGCACATATTCAACTTAACTAATATTCATTCGACGACTACAAAGTAGACTTTTATTTACAAGAATATTTATTAGATTCCAGGATTACAATAGAACAAACCCTACAGTCTATATATAATGTATCTGTTTTTATCACTGATAATTCACTATGTTCATATAGGTTCTCTATGATTTTGCTTGACAAATATTAAATTGGCATGAATATTAGCTACTATTTAAATTAAAGCGTAGTTTAATGTTTTACCATTGATTGAGGTGTCACATTTGAAAAAGATTTTTGGATTTAATATTCAGAAAGAAAAATGAGAATGAATTTGAAATGAATATTTCGTGCTGTTTGTCATGCGTTACGCACATTATCCTATTGACAATTTACTGTTTAAAATATTTTTCGTTACTAGAATGCATATAGTGTTCTTCTCGTTACGTTTATATAGATACAACTATTTCAAAACACTCTGAGAAAAGAATTAGCCAATGTTAAAAATCATCCAAATTATCTTCTGAGAAGATGTTTTGTAATTGAATTCAAAACGAAAAGTAAACTATTCTAAGACTGCTTTTTCAAAGTTAATGAGATTTGTTTAAGAATATTTTTATCTTGAGTTTTATTATGCATCATTGAAATAAATGCTCTTTAGTTCACTAATTCCGAAACAGCAATAATTGATGTCTTTTAACTAATATATCTTTTTCTTTTAATAAATACGTCACTAGGCTTCAGAAGATTGGATTCTATCGTTCAGGAGCATATGTCGACATATAGCGAGCCAGTAAACACAATCATCGTGAAACACAGATGTGAATGTCAAAAGTCTTATATAAAAAATGACAAGAAATTTTGAACAGACATAACACCAACCCTTTTTTGATCCAATAGAAAAAAAATGAAAAACATATCTGAAGTACTCCTAGCATGTATGATAGTAGATATTGACATTTTCCAAAGAATTCTATTTCATAGTTTTACGATGACAATGTCACATCGTTTGCCAACATAAATCATCACAATTAGTAAGAAAATATAATGTGAACAGAGCAGTTTTGAGTGATAGGAATGAGAGGAAGCAGCATGTAATTATGGCCAGCAACGAAACAAAAACAGATTCCGATTGGAATAATCTTTTAAATAATCTTAACGAACTTGAAACTCGATTCCATAACTTACGTGAAGACATTATTTTAAAGTTAAATGAGTGCATTAAAGCTCCTAGAATATTATATCCTCAAGCAACTTAATTGAGTACAATCTCGGAAAACAAGTTTATCAATGCATCGCATTCAGAAAAAAAGTGGAAAGATATCGAAAATAGATTAGCAACAACATTAATTCAAGGTAAAGTTATACTCAATGTTGGAGGTGAGAAATGTACGACCACCGTTGAAACATTAACAAATCGCAAAAATATCTTCTTTACTGCACTCTTCTCGAGTCAATGGTAGCTTGAAAAGAGATCCTGATGATAAATCTTATATTCGTAGATCGAAATGGTAAAATTTTTACGTATATTCTTGAATATTTCCGTACAAATACGGTACCAGACAATGTGATGAAAGATGGAACACTCAGTAAAAGTCTGTTCATCGAAGCTCATTACTTCGGCTTGAAAAATCTCACAGATCAATTCATGGATATATGTTTTTCTGATGGAACATTACCCAAGTTGACACATAAGAGAAAATTGAATGAATTTCATGGTAAAGTTAATCAACGATGGGATTTGATTTATAAAGCAACGCGTGATGGATTTGATGCGAGTGCATTTCATTCACGTTGTAATAATAAAGGACCTACCATGACGATTATTCAATCGAATAATAACTGTCTTTTTGGTGGTTATACAACTATCCCATGGAGTTCAGATAATTCATATAGCAGTGACGATACAACATTCTTATTCACCCTGGTCAATCCACACAGTATTCCACCGACTAAGTACACCATCGACGATAGTAAGACAGGGCATGCAGTATAGCATAACGGTGGATATGGTCCAACATTTGGAAGTGGCCACGATATTTACGTGACAAACAACAGTCATTCGAACAGTTCAAGCTACATTCATTTTCCAAAAACATACGTCGACACAACGAGAAAACTTGGCAATACCATTCACTGGATGTGAACATTTTACCGTATCTGATATTGAAGTGTTCAAATTGGCTTGAACTAGTTGTTTTGCATTTTCATATTGGACTCGCTCTGCTGTTTTTCCGCAATTAATTAAATTATAATGATTCTCATTTTAAAATCTATTTAACACAAAAAATATTGTTCGAACTGATAATATTTTTCTACACCAATAATTGAAGTGGTACATTCGAATGGCGCAGATACGATGTTTCTATTCATAATTGAGAATAGGAATATGCGTATTTATGACAGAATCATGTTGTATCTTCCAGACCGTTTCAACGTAGTACATAAGCATCTTGATTTTATCATCTTTTTCTTAGAATTAAATGTAGAAATAAAATTTCTGTTTGAAAATTATCATATGTACCGAAGTAAATCTAAAAGAAATCTTAAAAAAACTAACTTAACTACGACTAGCATTAGCAATCGCAACTGTCCGCTTAATTCCATCACAATTGTAATGCTGTTGATTGGTTTATAACGAAAATAATATGATATTAAAAACCAAACTCTCATAATTTTCAATTAATATGTTGAGAAAACATCAAAATATTTATCTAGTTTATTTGCTTGATAAAAGAAAAGAAATTTTCTTAATTGTAATCTGATCTATTGTTTATAAGGTCTAAAATAAAGTTTATTTAGTCCACAAAAACACATGTTCTCTTCACTGAAGTAAATTATAATCGACCAAATTTTGTTAAATAATCTGAACAGTTGCATTGATCTTTCACTCAAACAAAGTTTTGTTAGAAAATTATACAATTTTCTATTTAGTCGTGGATTCTATTTGAGAGTAAATATAGCCTCGAGCATAAATACAATTTCTGGGAGCAATATGAACTTCATGGTTCTTTTTTTCACATATATATATATATATATATATTTCTGAAAGAAATCTTTAAGTATTGCTTTTTTTTTGTATTGACAAAACGAGTAAATTCGACTTTGCTTTACACTATTTGTAGTGAGTGGCATGGCTTGAAGAACAATTGCAATCAGGTAGAGAAATAAAAAGAAAGACTGAGTTGCTGGATTTTTTTCTCTTCTGATGTCTGCTGTTTTTCACATTATAACCAAGCATGTAATTTTTCATAACAATTGAATCATAAGGCACACTGAAAATTTTCTTTTGTCAAAAAGCAAAAACAAAATGGATTCTAATTTTGATCATCCTCAAAACAATGTCAACGAGGTTGAAACTCATCTTGATAAACTACATGAAGATATTATTTTGAAGTTAAATGAATGCAGTAATTGTATTAAATCAGCTCAACAACTGTGTCATCAAGCAACAGAAATGGTTGCGGCTTTAGAAAAGAACATAGGTAATCTAACCAGTGCACAACAAGAATGGAATGAAATCAAAGTTAAACTAGCGCAAACATCCATTCAAAATAAAGTTATTCTTGATGTTGGAGGTGAGAAATTTATTACATGTATGGAAACATTGACAAGAGAAAAAAATACTTTCTTTACTGCTCTCTTCTCGAGTCAATGGCAACTCGAAAAAGATCCTAATGATGGCAGTATATTTATTGATCGTGACGGTAAATTATTCAATCATGTCTTGGCGTATCTTAGAACGAATAAAATATCAAAGGATATCCTCAATAATGATTCACTTCGAGAACTTCTTGTAGCAGAAGCCGAATATTTTCATTTGCATAATTTTCTGATATTGTTAACGGATATTTATTTTCCAAATGGAACATTGCTTAAACTAGAAGAGAAGAAAAAACTAAATGAATTTTACGGTAAAGTTAATCAACGATGGGATTTGATTTATAAAGCAACGCGTGATGGATTTGATGCAAGTGCATTTCATTCACGTTGTAATAATACAGGACCAACCATGACGATTATTCAATCGAATAATAACTGTCGTTTTGGTGGTTACACAACTATCCCATGGAGTTCAGATAATTCATACAGAAGTGATGATACAGCATTCTTATTCACCCTGGTCAATCCACACAATATTCCACTGACGAAATATATGATCGGTGGTGGTACCATAGCATATGCAGTTCATCATGGATATGATCGTGGTCCAACGTTTGGAGGAGGTCACGATATCTATTTAGCAAATAGTAGCAATTCGAATAATTCCAGCTACATTGGTTTTCCGATGGCTTATGTTGATACTACTGGAAAGGGTAATAAAACATTCACGGGAGCTTTTAATTTTACTGCAGCTGACATTGAAGTTTTTAGATTAGTTTAAATCTTTTTATTGATTGTAAATAAGTGCGATTGTAGTTGATGCCGAAAAAATAAAACAATAAGAATATATATGTACCACCTAAAATTAGAATTCAATCTATGAACATTTTCTTTATTCACCCTAATCCTGAATACCTCAACCTGAAATATTTAGATTAGTTACAATCTTTTGTAGAAATTTTAGTTTCAGAAGTATCTATATATTCTTGCCAATGATGCACTATTTTCAATCCATATTAGGCAACTGAAGAATTTTATTCGTATGATACAGATTAGGAAGATAATCTGTTGAAAAACGAAAATATTTTGTTTATTTAAAAACCGACGAAAGCCATCACAACATTTAATAAAATAAAATAAAATACTTAAATTATTCGTCGCAAAATTGAAATACTATGTTTATTTTTCGCACAATATAAAACATAAATTTCGGCTTCACACGTACCACATTGTATCTTGAATAGAAGGATCAAGTTGAATAAGTCTTGTTTCTACTTCTTGTAATGTTATTGAACCCATATTTTCTCCTAAATCATCATCATCATCGAAATTTCTAGAAGAAAATAATGCATTTTTGTATTTCTGTTCAAACAAAAAACTAATCCGTACCCTCCAATGGTGCTTCGACGATCGTTTTCATAATTTTCAGCATCACGCGATTGGTATGCAGCTAAGTGTGCGTAATGAACAGGTGCTGGTATCGATACAGCTTTTGTACAACGAACATCAGAATGACAAAGAAAATAGGTTAACGATTGTATCTCATCCGATGAGAAACCAATTTCATCGTATAAAACATGATATAAAATGGGCCGTGATGTTCCTTTAAAAAATGGCAAGAAAGTAATAATTCGATTTCGAAATCTTCTTTGTCTTAAATTATATTTACCTTGAATAGCTGCATGACTATTTAGATAAAAATCAAAGCCTAGTGGATGAACGATATCAGTATCAATAACGGTACCTTAATAAAAAGCAAAGATAACATTCATGAAATCAATTTAAAGACTAAAAATATACCAGGTTGAACATTGCTCATGTTTCCTGTAGCTGGATCACGAACGAAAAATCGTGTATTATGTCGTTTTTTAACGATAATAAATGTTATTTTTGGTAACGGATTGTTCATATAAAGTGCTAAAAAGAAAGAATAGTGCTTATGTTTTATATCAATTAAGGTGTCATAAGCGATTTTATCAATAGGGAGTATTTTTGTATAAGACATCATGGGAATTTTCTCGATGTGAGTCATTCTCTTGATTTTAATATCATGTTGTAGAAACTAAACTGGCCTATTCGTGCTATGTCTAGTTATGATAAATGTAACATGTGAACTAAAGAAACATTTTTTGTCGCTCACGATAACAGTCGATGCTAAACTTCTCAACTGAAAGTATCAGAAAAGAATTAAATTCAAATATTCAAAATTCTACACGCTCGATTAAAAAACTTGAAAAATGATCTGTTGATTAATGACACATAGGATGATAATGTGTTTAGAAACCAAGAAGAATCTCAGCTGACAAATATGACATTAGATAATAGAAAACGGATGCCAATACCTTTACAAGCATTTTGTAAAGATCGTATTTCATGATCAAGTACTTTTTGAAAATGCCCATCATCGACACCTAAGAGACATAGATAAAGTTGTATAGTTTTTCAATCAAGCAACACAATGTTTTACCATCACGATAAAAAACAATTTTATTCGGAAAACAGCCATTTCTTTGAGCAAATAATTTCAATAAATCTGTTGACATTAGATAGAGATCTTTTATAATTTCTAATGAAATTTTTCCACGTGCTGGATATTGTTCACTGACACGTGACGCATATTGTGTACCTAAAAATTGTTTTTTTTTTTCGAAACTTTCTTCAGCAACGAAGTCAATATACTTGTACTATCAACTGAACCAATAACAGCTGCTATTGATGGCTTATCTCTCGAACATGTTGTATGTGTTACATCGGCTCCAAAAAACATAAACACATCATCTTTTGTTGACGATGATGTTAAGGCTCGAGCGATTGATACTATTCCATTAACACCACCTAATTTAGCATTAAATTTTTGTACAAGATTTTGTAAATACTAAACGGAAAATATATAATAACACTTTGTTTTATTCAGATTAGCTTTTATTTTGTTGATTGTTAGAATTCATGATAAAGATAAAAAAAAAGCCTCACACCAGTGAATTTCATTGTAAATCAAAATAGAAATATACCGAAGAAGAGAATAGAATGCTCATGAAGTTCTCTTATTAGACTAAAAAATACGCCAATCATGAACGTACTGTATTAAAATTTAATTCTACGAATTTCGAGAACAATGAATTGAAAACTATCACTCATATTTTACTAACATCTAGTATAGATTTGATAGAAAAATAAGCAATACTTGACACAATAGAAAAACTAGACTGATCTTCATAGAGAAATCAATACGAACTGGCATGCTCTCACTTAAAACACCAAATAGTCTAGACAACAATATTCTTTTAAAAACTTCAAAGAAGAACTATGTCTCATTACGTTATCATCTCAGACATAGTTAAGTCGAAGAAATAGAAAATCTCGAAATTAATCTCTTGTTTGTATTAATGAATTTATGATGCAAATAAGCTTTCATTCGGTTGATACATACCATATCGAGTTTTTTATTTTTGATATTTTTTGCAATAGCAACAAAATCAGTACATCTAAAATAGAAAAAGAAAATTTCCATGCTAATTTTGATTCAAACAACAAACAAACAATCTTACTGTGTAACAATACCAAGTTTTTGATTTCCAAAATATTTAATTGATTTATAAGTTTCTTCTCCTACACCATTAAGAATGAATACAACAACTTCACAATTGCTTTCTTTTAATTCTCTTAATCGGTTATGAATCATCTGTGAGTCTGTTGGATCACTAAACATCATTGGACTTGATTGAAAACAAATTCCGTATTGTGCAATTATCTTAATTAGTTTGAAATTCTATTTTTTGTCGAAACAAAATAAATAATTTACTTGTGGAAATTGATCAACGAATTGTTTTGCAATCGACAGTTGATTATTATTTGGTCTTTGTGTTGAAATTAGTACACATGCCCATTTATCAATCGTTTTTGTTTTTTGAAAACGATTTCTCAAATTCCATCTTATAAAAAAAAACTTCAGTAAAACTTGTTGATCTTAATATTTTTTTCATTGTTTTTAGAAATCATACTTTCCAATGTTGATTCTTTCAACTATTTGACTTTGACCATCTCGTCCACTTTTATATTTGATTTCAGGTGGTGCAATGAATCTTGCAGGTACAGTGATCATTTGTTGATCGTCAATACTCATGCCAATTTCGGTTACATATTTATCTTCGTTGAAATTCCTCACTCGAACTATATCCATTATAGCTTGATAGCGTTGATTTGGATTCACGACGGTTTTCCTCGTTACTCGTGCACGTTGATCTGTTGTCAATGGTTTCATTGAACGTTGCCAAGCTTGAACAGTGCAACATTCCATTGGTAAATAATGAAATTGAGTTTTATTGGGCGGTGAATATAATTCTAATTAGTTTTATCATTTTACGAAAATAATATTTTTAATCTCTTTAGTCATGATCTTACCAACGGTCGGTAAATTAGGATATTGTAAAGTGATTTCATATTTTTCTAGGAAATATTCAAAGACTGACTGCCGTTCTTGATTATCTTCATTGTTCTTCTCGGCAGTACGCGGGAATGTATGTTGTCGCGCTGATGCGCCAAAGCCACGTATACGATATTTTCTAACAGTTTCTGTATGATGAGTTTCTAGCCAGATTGGCTTTAGTATTTTTCGTAATAATAATTGTTGTTCACGCTCATTTATACCTTTCAGAGAAAATTTCAAGTTGATGAATAAGAAAATATTATTAAATTACCATCTCGAACTATATCATGTTGAAGATATTCACATAGAAAGTGAACTAAATTGAATGGTTGATAAAAACATGTAAATGTAGAATTGATGTTTAGAGTAGCACCAATCTTTGTTAAAAACATTGCTTGATAAGACCCATGGCCTAAACCTCGACCGTCACCTTTATAAAAGAAATATCAATGAAAATCTATGAATAGAAAACACTCAATTACATGTCTGTTTGATACTATGTGTAAACAAAGCGGAATTCCTTTGAGGAAAAATTCTATAATAAGTATGAATATGGCCCTATTCTTTTATTTGTGAAAAACCTTGAATAACGAATGGTTTCTTTACAAAAAATGAATCATCAACAAATCATACGATTACTTTAGATTACGAAATTATGTTCTCCCCATTAGTTGAATTCAAAATATTTTCTTTTTGATAATCACTATAGCACCGTTTGCAAAAAGTTCCATTTTCTTAGATAAAATAGCATGTGGATGTCTTCTATAGAAGGGTCTATGAATAGAAAACTAACTTTGTTAGTTAGATCACTGCAAAAACTGATTTAAACAACTTTATATGAAAAAACATGACATTATATTCCTATTTCGTATAGTATAGTAAATTATTTATAGTTTATAACTGGAATCGAATCGAAGTATTTCTAGTTTGCCTTAGATAACATTTTAGTTAATTATAATCTTACTTGAAGAAAATAATACTTTTGTTAATAAACTCTAAAATGGTGCATGTTCTTAATGAACAGTTTTATTTTCAGAGTATTGGTAACACTCGTTTAATTAATACACTCTATTTCTTGATTTATTATGTAACCTGGGATGACATGCGTAACTTATTCAATCATATGTCTGCCGATTGAAATCGAACAGTGACAACATACCTAAATCATCCAACTGTTGTCGTCGATCGTAAAATTGATTTTTAACACAAACCATAGATGTTCGCGTTGTTTGCTTCAGAAGTGTTTCAAGTATTCTTATAGGATCTCTCGGACGAATAGCTATTCGATTCTCAATAAAATCCCAAAGAACCTGAGTTAAATGTTTTTTAAATAAATTTTTAAGTTCTTGTCAAATCAAATAAAAATAACCTGTATATCATATGATTTCACAAGATTAATGAGTAGTAAACGATATTGCTGTTCTCGATCAGTCTTTTTTTCTTTTACAATTATTTCATATTGATCTTTCAAATCAACAAGTAATTCAATGGAATACAAGCTTTTGCCTTCATCATACCAAACAAACGGAAGATTTTCACGTTCAATTATTTTTCTTAGCACCAGAAAACGATCATCTTTTCTTGCTGGTCGCCATGTACCATCTCGATTAGCTGTTTCTAATTCAATATCATATTGATGACACTTTAATGTTTGAGGAATATTACATTTAAAATGATTTGTATATAATCGTAGCTTTTGACCGGCTGAGAAAAAAACAATACAATTTTTCCAATCGAGAATTGTATGTTTTTTGATTTACCTGCTCCACCTTGATCTGGCCGTTCAGCAAGTGTTATTATTGATGTATCAGGTACAGCTGAACGAATAGAAGTTCTCAGTGCACGTGTAGATTTGGCTCGATTTGCTGAAGAACGCGATGTCGATTTGGCATGATCCGACGAAAGTTTTCGTCCTGAAGAAGCTGTAGTCGATGCTGATGGAGGACGATTTGTCATACGATTTTCTTTATATCCTTGGTGAAATTTATCAAGGGTTATAGCCATAGATTGCGAACGATAGGGTTCTGGTGGACCTATATTTGCTCGATTGGTTCTTTCTAAAGAAATTCATGAATTCAGTTTTACATTGTTACCTATCTGAATGTTTGACGCTTACTACCACGCCCTCGGCCTCGTGATCCTCCTGCTGACATGATATTTTTTATTGAAAGTAACTAAAACTAGAAGATCGATTTCAATATATATATATATATATATATATATATATATATATATATATATATATATATATATATATATATATATTATATGCAGTAAGATGGTAGATTGTACATAAAATACCCAATGATTATTTAACAAAAAGACCAATTATTGTACTTGAGCAATAGTTTGGGGAAGAGTGTAATACAACTCACTGTTACATTTATTATGTTTGCAAAGATGTGTGTATAAGCAACAACAAGTAAAAACACCAATAATGTGCAAGGCTCAAACTAGTAAGCATACCATAGATGTGCGCCATCTAGAAATCTGTAACTAAATGAGGCTCTTGTCTTTGTCAACTTTGGATATATAGAAAACAAGCATAATTAATTTTATCATTTTCTAAATCGAGCATTCCTGATTATGCTGCACTAGAAATGAAGATGGCTATGGATCCTGTTTGCAGCACATATGCTTAACTTAATTCATACTGAAAATCCAGTGCAATGATTGTAAATGACAAATCTAGTGGAAAATGTTTTATTTTTATGTATGGGGTCACTACTATTCAACTGGATTTCTATGTCTTTACCACTATAGTGATTTGAAATCATTATGGTTCGATCGTTCATAATCATTGGTGGCAAATCTTTTTGTCTATTCTTCTGTTAAGTATTTACAGAGGGTTTACTCAACGAACAATTTCTTTCTTTTTTTATCATATCTGAACTGAACATCTTTACAAAGCGTTATTCATTGTTTTTAATGACATTATTGCCTCATAAAACATTGATTTGATATATTTCTGCACATATAGATAATGATAATAGTTTTTTTTATAGGATCATGTTGAAACGATACGATTGTATTTTATAGTATATAAAAAAAAACAAGATTTCAACGAGTCAATTTTTAATCGGCAATTGCCACATATCGAATTTAGATAGATCATAATCTTAGGAAATCATAAGATGTTTCTAGAACTTTTATTTTGCAACAATAACATCAGGCAATGACATTTGCAGCGGAATGTTCTATGATTCGATTGATAATTATGCTTATTTTTCTACCATCAAATTTTCATATATAACTGATTGCTTTGAACCAGGTAATTATCCTTCACTTGATCCTAACTGTACCACAAATGGCCAATCTTCATACTTCTAGCAGGCTAAACGTTTCCAATGAGAATACGCTTGCATAGCTTAATTTATTCTACGTTTTTCATTTATTAATCAAATATTTTTATTGCAACTGTACATTAATCTATCTTCAATAGAAAATATCGCAATAATTTCGCATTTATTTTTAAAATCATTTTCATTTTCATTATCAACAAAAATCAGCAATCTATAAAGATTTATTGATCCTGCTATAACCTCATCAAATAAAAAGAAGCACGTACCGATGACCACGCAATGTACTTGTGACGGACATCGAGTAAGATGAAGATTGATGAGTGAAAACTAATTAAATCTATTTTTCTAGATTTTATTTTAATATTAATTTTCATATATTTCTTTGGCTACCAAACAAAACATATTATAGCTAGTACTCTGTTGAGCAGTTCAAGGGACACTTGAAATTATTCCGATTGTACTATTTTGTTTTTTGAAAATAATTCTTGTTTGATATTATAATTTTGCGAGAGAATTCTCTACGTACAATTGCTAGTTAAGTTGGTCAATTCGCTGGAAAAGCTAAAGAAACAATTACTAATACAACAGCAAGTGTACTTTATTGAAAAATAAATAATTTACAAACAGTAAACAAATTGTGAAATATTCAATATCGAAACGTACATGATACTAGAATAGAATAGATGGTGATTTTTTGTCTTGTTTTTATTATCTTTATATTTATAGTCATCAAAAACAACTACCATCTTCATTCTCTTGTTGTTCTCTTTCACTCTTGTTTTGCTTCCAACATATGTAATAACGCAATGATTTGATAGTAACTTCCGTTAGTCCAACAATTTTTTATATCACTTTTCTAAAGTGTTTGTATGTATTTACGCAAATTATTTCTTTATTTTTTAAGAAAAATAAACGGAAATATTTTGCACATTTTCCTGGAGAAGAATTTAGCTAGATGCCTGTCGCACGATCATCTAGTTTATCAATTTTGAAGATAGAGCAACACAGGTTTTCTTACACTTATTCAATAAATACTTACCCAAGTGGTTGAGGGAAGAAAAGAAATACAGAACTAAACTTATCTTCACTTACACAGTTCAACACAGTCATGGTTCCCGATTACTTTTCGAAGTGAGGGGGGCTAAATTTTGGCAGAAAGTATTTTTTCTGGCAGACAGTATACGTCAAAAAGAACATCCTTGGTTTATAATACCATCATCTAAGATAGATGATCCGAGGCCATTTTTATTAAAAATAAGTAAAAACAACATATGTGTAAAAAGAAATATTTCAAAAAGCTTTTCAAAACTCATCATCCTTCTGTTTCAATTGATCAGATTCAAAAAATAATGTTACATT